TTAACCACTGGGCTACCCGACCGCCCCTCCGGGCAGACCCTCTACCACTACACCACGGAGGTGCCCATCACAAAGAGCTATCACCCAATCCATTTTACTCTTACAATAAGCGCAGCTAACTTGGAACTAAAGATATCCCAGAACCCCATGGAGGTGAGGACAGTATTAGGCTGCATGGCTTATCATACAACATTGTCAAGACATTCTGAGATTTAGAAACTTTATAGACAAATGACAGCCGAAAAAATACTTTTCCACCCTTTAGGAAAATACAAGAAAAACGTAAAATCCACAAGTTAAAACAAGCCAAGATATGGATAGGATTAGTAACGAACATCCATGAGACATGTGTCCGAAGCAGCTGTAGTGTATTATAGCCAAGGCCAGTACATCATAAATAGCTGATATTGTCAACATGATGCCTGTGAGAGTAATGCTGTTTGCCTTAGATAAATATTGAGCAATTGTGACAAATACTGCCTGCAAGCTGTACGCCCACAGAGCTCCAGAAGAAGGCAATGGGTTGGGAAAAACGTGTATTTATAACACCGCATGAAATGAATGCTTGTTTATTTGGAGGTATTTCTTCTGTGAATCCCAATTCATGTCATCTTAAATGTTCCAACAGTCTCAAAATCTATTTGTCACAAAACAATCCCTGTTTATCAATATCGCTGTGGATGGTCCTTAGAAAGACTTGGTACCAAATACATGTATACCATTTCCTAGGTACAGTATTACTACTGTATGCGATATTGATAGCTTTTACCAATATCAATTGTCCTGTGAGTCATTTACACTACTTCCATCTGAAGGTCTTTATTCATAAACAATAGAGGTTTCCATCACCTTGGATAGAAAATACCGTGTTCTGAGTTAGCACAAAGGATATAATGAGCGATAACTCATTTCACTGTACAGTGAAACACTGTTAATTGTCTGGACAAAACAAATTTCTGGATAAACGAAATATCATTACAGAGCACTTTCCTTGGTATATATATAGATGTTCCCACAGCAGGTTGTGTTTCCAAATTCACAAGGTCAGGGCTAACAAGGGAGATCATTGTGAATTCATTGAAACCAACCATATCCTGACAGGCTTCAGGATAATTTCATTGACATTATCTGTGTGTTTGTTTGTTTAATGCTGCACTCAGCAATATTCAGCTCTATGATGTCGGGCTGTAAATAATTTGTTTGTTTGTTTGTTTGTTTGTTTGTTTGTTTGTTTGTTTGTTAGTTTGTTGTTTAATGCTGCACTCAGCAATATTCCAGCTCTATGTTGGCGGTCTGTAAATAATCAAGTCTGGTCCACACAATGCAGTGATTGACATCATGAGCATCGATCTACACAATTGGGAAACAATGACATGCATCAACCAAGACAGCGAGTCTGACCACCCGATCCCGTTAGTATGACATTAAATCAAAACTGCACATGACTATATTCTGTAAAAGTATGGTTTGTGTATTTGAAAAAGAAATGAAATGATTAAAAGAAACTATACATAAGAATATCGGTCAACTATCACATAATTACCAACAAATTTTACAATGTGAAGTGTTACGAAAAAGCAAACCTGTAGTAGCGGTAAGAATACATCACAGTCTTATCCCCGAACACAGGACTATCTGCTCCCGACCTCCATTTTAGGTGCGAACCGGTCAACTCTCAGATGTCCCCGGGTCACTTCATATGTATTCCAAATATTGATACCTCACATATCACACGGACATTAAATATTTGGACAAGCCAAAGTGACCACTAGAGGTGTCAGTGATCTGGACCCAAGATGACCAGACGGCAAGACTGTCACCTTCTCTCTAACTGGAATCAAAAACTATGTGCCCAAGTAACTTGACTCATGAACCTATTGCAGTGAAACCTGACTCGGCTCATGCAATCAGCTATTGTCTCTTGTCTTAGTCATCGGATCATGTTGCCTGATTAAGAAAGGAGACCAAGCATTTCTCCACTTGTGCTGGGGCAGCTTAATTGTGGAATGTTATGTAACACGGACAACAGCTATAAAGTGAATCCTTGCAAGGTTGAGGCCGTGTCGTTTGTTTGCTGTTTAACGATGCACTCAGCAATATTACAGCTATATGACGGCGATCAGTAAATAATCCAGTCTGGACCAGACAATCAAGTGATTGACATCATGAGCATCGTTCTACGCAGTTGAGATATGATAACATGTATCAATCAAGTCAGTCTGACCACTCGATCCTGTTAGTCGCCTCTTACGACAAGCATAGTAGCCTTTAATGGCAATCTTGCTGAAGACCTATTCTACCCCAGATCTTCACAGGTCTGTTGAGGCAGTGAGAAAGACTGAAATTTTTCACTGCTTTTAGCAATATTCCAGCAATATCAGAGGGGGATGCAAGAAATGGGCTTAAAATATTGCAACCATGTTGGGAATCAAACCAGGGCCTTCAGTGAGACAAGCAAATGCATTAGCCACTAGACTACCCCACTGCCCCCTGCAATGTATATGCACATCTCGGACATCAAATCAGTGTGTGGGGGTAGTCAGATGATTGTAATACTTAGATTTGATAGTTTTTCTCTACTCACTTGATCTTCAGGCATATGAATGTGCTGTAAAATACTTTTATGTTAAAAGAAGTACCTAGGTAGAGAATCTCACCCAAGTGTCTTTTGAGGTCTATGGTTACACAAATAGTCACTAATGTTCACATTTTTTTTACTATGCCCCCATTCCTTCTGACTTTTATGTTTAATTAAAGATAAAGCTTCAGTCAACTTCAGTGTATGCATGACCAGATCGTTTAATACATGTATCTAAATACATTTTGACAGGAGTACGGTCAAACGTTTCCCAATCAGACATTTTGTACCTATCTCTTGAGACCTACACTGGGTACCCGGGTAGGGTCGGGTAATAGGGGGATGGGTACCCGGGTAGGGTCGGGTAATAGGGGGATGGGTACCCGGGTAGGGTCAGGTAATAGGGGGATGGGTACCCGGGTAGGGTCAGGTAATAGGGGGATGGGTACCCAGGTAGGGTCTGGGTACCCGGGTAGGGTCAGGTAATAGGGGGATGGGTACCCAGGTAGGGTCAGGTAATAGGGGGATGGGTACCCGGGTAGGGTCAGGTAATAGGGGGATGGGTACCCAGGTAGGGTCAGGTAATAGGGGGATGGGTACCCGGGTAGGGTCGGGTAATAGGGGGATGGGTACCCGGGTAGGGTCGGGTAATAGGGGGATGGGTACCCAGGTAGGGTCAGGTAATAGGGGGATGGGTACCCGGGTAGGGTCAGGTAATAGGGGGATGGGTACCCAGGTAGGGTCAGGTAATAGGGGGATGGGTACCCAGGTAGGGTCAGGTAATAGGGGGATGGGTACCCGGGTAGGGTCGGGTAATAGGGGGATGGGTACCCGGGTAGGGTCGGGTAATAGGGGGATGGGTACCCGGGTAGGGTCGGGTAATAGGGGGATGGGTACCTGGGTAGTTAATTTGGACTCATCAGAGCCCAACCAGGCACCACTAAGGGACACAACTGTGCACCAAAATGTGTATCATCTCAGACCACTGTGCCACCATGACCCTGGTTTGTAAGTAAACCCCTACTTGTCCTAGTATGTCACAAATAGACACTGGAATACCAAAAGATTATAAAATTCTATGCCCTTAACTTTTTCAAAAATCCATTGATGACAAAATAACATTGAAATAACATATCAGGTGGCAAAGGAATCAGAACAACCATAAAAAATAAATATTGACAATAAAAAGCTGTTCCCAAGCTCGATGTAGGGCTTGTACCAGTTTGACATTCCGAATGACATACCCACAACATGCAGCGCAATGTCAGGGACACGCGGCCCAGCTGCTGCCCATGCATGCACCACAATGCATGACTAACAAGTCTAACATACAGATGGCATGGAAAGCAATATCTCCTCATCTAACTTCATAGTGCTGCAGAAACAGCTGCTTTTATTAGTGCAATGTAACTGAGACAGAGTTTTCCTGACAACAGTAAGGGAAGGATTTCACCTTACAATAAACACCTCCAACTGAGTGTGGTAATGGGGCCGCAATGTTATTTGGATGCCTTTATCTTCCACCAACATACATCACAGTAAATTCATCAATCTTCAGATTGTCATCAGAATGAGTTAGCAAATTTTTTTTGCTGCTTTAGCAATATTCCAGCAATGTCATGGCAGGGAACACCAGAAATGGGCTTAACACATTGTACCCATGTCAGGAATCGAACCCAGGTCTTCAGCTTGATGGGCTAAAGCTTTAACCACAATCTACCAGGCCTCATCGGAAATCTGAACCAAACTCATCTTGGTCCTCTTCGTTAACAAACACTGTTTAACATGCAGCAACATTGTTATACACAATGAACAATAGATCACAAACATCTTTATGTTTGTTATGTTTATTTGTTTGTTGTGTAACGACGCACTCAGCAATATTACAGCTATATGACAGCGGTTTGTAAATAATCGAGTCTGGACCAGAAAATCCAGTGATTGACATCATGAGCATCGATCCATGCAATTGGGATACAATGACATACATCAATCAAGTCAGCAAGCCGAACCACCCGATCCCGTTAGTCGCCTGGTACGACAGGCTTCTTGATGGCAGCACTGGAGACAACTGGAAGATCACGAACACAGGACACCAACAATCTAACTTACATCACCTCCAACAAAATCCAACTTTGCGAACACGAACAAATGTACTTTTTTTTTTAAATTTCAAAAAACACCTAACAAATCTTAACCCTTGAAATCACCATCTTGACAATGAGCAAACAGGTGAAAACACTAACAATGCAATCAATATTAAACAGTCAGCTGCAAGTCATGCACAAAGTGCTTCTGAGTGTGAAGCATGTCCTATTGAGAGGAAGCAAGGTAGACAGGCCTCCATGACGGCCAGGTGATCCCCACCTGCAACAACAACCTGTACAAGAGGGAGGGGGGGCACAAGCATCAGTGTACTTACTAGTTGCTGAACTGACCGGGCTTCTCAATGGGAGGGTTGTGAACGATACCCTGCAACAGATTATTATATACCATTGGAGTAAATGTATGTGCATGTATTCATGGTAGTAACACACATGTTCACACATGAAGGGATGGCTCTCTGAAAGAAAGGACTACAATTAAATTAAATAGATATCTAATGGGTCATAACATTCCATACATACATTCCAGCATTTAAAAATGAAATTAAAGGATATACAGGTTACATTTTTTTCAATTTTAGTGTATGGCAAAGTTGCACTTCTGTGTCAGCTCTTGTGACTACAATGTACATCCATTAAATTGTGTAACATGTTAATCTGTACATGATAAATATGTATCGAAATTTGGACAATGCAAGATCAAACCTGTAATATTAAAAAGAATAACAAATTAATTGATCAGCATGGATCAAGGAGTCTAAAGGTTATTTACCTCTGTTGTATTATCCTGTTCCAAGGGAGGCAATCAAAGAAAAGGTAAAATCTATTTAAACTATTGTTCACTGAAGTGAAATGTCATGGTAATGACTTAAGAGTTTCATAATTAACAAAGTAGAACCCTAAGTGGCAGTGTTAGTACAAGCTCTCAACGTCCCCGTGAAGTGTGCAGTCAAGTGTGGTCAGTGAACCAGTGGGACTACAGAGGAGCAAAACAAGATCAGCTTATATGCATATGCCATTTAGTGGACCATCCCCGCCAAGCTGGCTTGCCCAAATACCAGGTCATCAAAATATGCATACAAGAGTTTCTTGGTTTGAGAATTCTGTAATTTTATTATTTAAACTTAGAGTTTGAAAAAAAGAAAAGGAAAGAACAGAAAGAACGGAAAGGACTATGGACAACGTCTACCAGAAAATATTAAATAATTTGTATTCATTCCAGTGGTCATATTACAAGAGAATATCAGACACTTGATGTATTTATTTATGTGGGTGAGTGTTACACCAGTCACTATGCTCTGTCAACCATACCCGTGCTTGTTGGTTTCACAAAACAAAATTGTGAAATGTTTGCATCACTTTCGTCTTTTCAAACACTTTAGGCTAACATGCCGTGATATAACTGAAATACTGTTCCAAGCTGTGTTAAGCCCAACTCAGTAACTCTGGTCAAGCTGAAGCAGGTAAACCGGTGGCTGAAAGCATGAGCATCCCTCAGCATCATCAGCTGGGTCAAAAGTGTGCAATGGTCCATGGCGTTCACCCAACAATATCAGACCACTGAGCAGCCATTGGGGCCAAGTGATTACATTATCAGCGGCCTCTCAGACTACTCTATTCTGCCCTAGAAAACCCAACTATTTCTATCACAAATAAAAATGTACAATATGGGTGCATAAATGTCAACCCAAAACTAGCTTATGTCAATCCAAAACCAGCTTATGTCAATATTTGCCAAACATTTCCACAACATCAACTTGTTTTTCAAAGCCAGAAAGCCTATTCAGTATATGACAGAATATCAAGCTAAACGCCTACGCAAAATATGAATTCAAGCATATTAAAAACAGCCACTGAAGCTATGATTTCAGTTATAATGGCCCTAGACCCTGTGCAGATAATCCATTGCCATGTAAAGCTAATGACACACAAGACATAGTTTACAATTAGCAACAAGACACTTCCAAGGATACCATTCTGTCATCAGTAACACCAGAACCCTTGACACAAAGATATAACTAAAAGGCTCCTGAAGTCCTTCATGTATTGAATTCCTTTTGCTTTACCATTACACCATCAGTGTGTCAGAGATGGTGATCATTACCGTTAATATACAAAGCTTTGTCAAGTATGCGTCTGAGCTATAGTGAATCACACCAGACAATACCTAGTGTTCTTTTCTAACCATGTCTGGATACATATCCTGCTGTGACCATTGAATTGTTGAGAGATGTTTCATACCCTAAACCTATCAAGACCAACCATCCGTGTAACAATGGGAAGGACACCCCATGGGGAATGTCTACCACTAGCTACCTCTCTGCTCAATGTTCCCGAGCTTTATCATCTGTGTAGCAATACTTCATATTACATTTATCTAAGAGTATATTGTGTAAACACGAAATTAAAGATTCACAACAGAAAAGACATCTCACTCAAATCTCAGAAAGACAGAAAAACAGGCAAACAAGTGAATATATTAGAAGTGAAAATTGAATATTAAAATGTAAGCAAGCATAACGCCAACTAGCACACGATGTTCGGTCAGCTGTCGGGGTCAGACATACGGCTTGACACACTGTCACCTGGTCAGTATGTGAGGTCAGATGTGACCGATCAAATCGTGACAATACCGTCACGCCCGTCAGACTGACCGAACTGTCATAACACACAAGCTATAACATACAGCCAATACCTTCTTCTTCTTTTTATCCCTCAATGAACTGATGGTTTGAGCTCTGGGCCGGAATTTCTACAGGTACCGAACATCAAACAGTCACTAGTGGAGCATGACAACTGCACACACGCCAATCTCAAATCGTACATGCATTGTCGAGCATCAACACAAGTGTTCCATCCTGAGCATGCTCAATACACACTAAGGTAGACGCACCTTGATTATAATTAACGAGCATTACCTGCACACACACACAAATGGCATCTCCCAGCGACAGTCACATGCAAACGAGGCTGGACTTGAAATCAATAGAAGTTATTGATTTTGTTCATTTTCCTACATAATAGGCCGCAGCTGTAGGCGTAGTGTTTTTATCTGGGTAATACGAAGTCATGCCGAGCCTGTCTTTGTTCACTGCAAACTCATTACACTTACACATTCTAGCATGAGGTAGCTATCGGAAGATGTAGAATGTATCACTGGTACACAATTACCGAACAAAATGGACATTTTGATTTGGTTTATTCTTAATATGGAGCCATCATATAGCTGCACTATTGCTGAGTGTGGCAATAAACAACAAAAAACAAAACTTAATATGGCAAATGGAACATAAAACTGATCGTAAAATTACTATTATTTTCCTATTATTATTCCCCTCATTATCACTTGTAATGGTGAACAAATTCTTTAATATTTCATAAGAACAGACATAATATTCCTAAAATAGAGGTTTTAATCTAAAGAACATGAAAAATAATTGGACCAAAAGCTTCTAAAGAAATTTGTTTTTGGTCATATAGAGGGAAAAGTACATCATGTTTCTCACAGCTGGGCAGTTGGGTAGCTTAGTGGTTAAAGCGTTCACTCGTCACGCCAAGACCCGGGTTTGATTCCCGACATGGGTACAATATGTGAAGCCCATTTCTGGTGTCCCCCGCCGTGATATTGCTGGAATATTGCTAAAACCATACTCACTCACTCACTCACTCTCAGCTATTTTGGCTGTTAACCATAATCATGAACTTATCCTCCGTAACATCTGACCAGCCAATAAGTATTGATCAGTGTTATACAAGCTCATCCACATGTGTGAGGAGATCAGGAGACATGTGTAGCCTGCTTTAACTCCAGACAAAGCTGAACATTGATTACCATAGAAACCTGTGAAGAATGGCCACAACGTGTTGATTGACCGAACAATATATTGATCTTATCTGGGTGTCTCCCCATTGCCGATATTTACTTAGCAAAAAGAACATTTCAATGGTAAAGGATGTGAGGTCATCCGAACAAACCTCCCTAAGTAATTTCTCGAGTGAGTGGTTTCAAATTTCTATGATGTAAACTCAGTTGGTTCAATAAATATCACTTAGGTATTTTGTGGTAAATAATTGACTGGTTATTTACGATCAGATACATAGTCCTGCCTCGCCGCATGTTTAAGTCTCTATATTTAGCATGCTGTTACAAACATAGGTTCTCCTCAGGATCTATAACTCTTGCATACATCACACACATTTTAAAAGCTCAGAACAATGTCAAAGATAAATTGCAACATGCTAATTAAATAGGCTATGAATAGACAAATGGAAAAGAAAACAATGAATTGGATGCAATGCATTTAGTTCAAGTTGCAATGTTAAAATTTATAATGGAAACATGAAAAAGATTTAAAATTTCATGCTTAAAAAGTCCAAAATTAAAACATGAAATTGTATTAAAAAAAACTTACCGTCTTTGCTTCCCGCAGTGCAATGGACGAAAATCCTGGTTCATAATCCATAATACTTCTCGGTTGGTTCCTGTAAACCTCGATTGAGGATTTGGCGTGGGTCGGAGTCCAGAAGCTGGGAATTGACAAGTAAATATTCAGAATATGTTTTGACATGGGCAGTAAGTGATTTGTACCTTTGTAACATACGTACAGGAAATTCAGGTTCAACCTTGGTTGGCTTCGGGCAAATTTGGGAAAACTTCACATTTACAGTTAATTGGTAGGAAGTCTTACATAGTTCTTGGACTGTTTCTATATCTAGACTAGCAGTGACCATATTACAGGCACAACAATAATGACATGTTAACTGTTTCGGAACACAACAGAAAATGAAAAGACATGAACAATACTTACAAAAAACTAATATCAAGCACATCATTCCACAAAAGGATTTTAAAAATGAAAAATATGGATTATATAAAACACTAATATTTTTCGGAATTAAATTATCCCCCCCCCCAAAAAAAGGTTTCTAAATGTCTGAAAATAAAACAGTATGATAAACACTACTGAAAATTAAATAATTTTTCTCCATTGGAGGATAACAGAGGAACATGCCTACAGTAATTCTTTGATAGACACTAAGAAGAGGCAAGAACATTTTATAAAGTTTTTTATAGATAACGTTTTTATTGTTTGTCATGGCATTTCAATTTTACTTCTAGCTCATTCATATACTGAATACAGATTCACCAAGAACAAAAGATGAGCAGGGCAAGGAGTAGCCCTTAAACATAGATACAAACAATGAAGAAATTGTAATCAATAAAATGGTTCATGTCTTCATGCCTATAATGCTACAGCATGCTTCATGCGCCACGAGACATCGGTGTAGAATATACCTGGGAAGTGTGGGTATTGAACTGGCAGCAGGGAGAGAAACAGTGACACATACAGATACTATATACATAGTGCAGTCGGGACCATCACATAGTGCCTACAATATAGCTGATATATAACTAATTACATAAAATAATTTAAATCTTTATGAAAACAAATTTGATGATGATACTACATGATTTCAACATACAGTAGACTACGGTTAAAACGAACACGCTTATAACGAACTGACAGATATAACAAACTCACTTTTTGGTCCCAACTATTTGCTGTAGTTATGCTGTATATATGCTTATAACGAACTACAGTTATAACGAACAAAATTAGTAGTCCCTTTGAGTTTGTTATAACCGTAGTTTACTGTATAGTAAAATATCGTTACATATAGTTAAAGTATGATTGGATCATATGTTTTTGGACATGATATGTTTTTCATACGGCCATGTTTATTGCGATTGCCCGCGCTATAATGAAGGGGGTGGCATCACACAGACATTGTAAACACTCAGATTCTGGATTTTTTTAAAGATAAAGTTGTCTTCATAAGTGAGTGAGATGTTTTACAGTTGTTCTTGTGATTAGGGAGAAAACTATGAATGTTTAAAGCATCCCAAAACCAATAACATGGGGATAATACAGGGTTTGAAATTCCGAGTATCAGAGAGCTTCTGGCATAGATACAATTGTAATGGCACCATCAAAATAAGTTCCCGGTGCCTGAAGGACACAATAAAAAAATAATTTTTTTTGACAAAAATACCTTATGACATTTTCAAAATCCAATGTGAACACTCATTCGTTTAGAAACGTAAAACATGAGTAAAATAGAAATGATTGTATGTTAATTTGTATGTAAATTCCTTATCTGGAATAAGTACAGGTACCTACCATGTTTGAGAAAGAACTTTTCAATAGTATTAGCTTCTGCAGTGATACAGACATCAAATAAGCTGTTTCAATGAGAGATGTTTCGAGCAGATTCAAGTATTTTCATATTCCTGGTAGAATGTCCATTTATGGGTGAATAAGTCAATGAAATTAGTCCAAAGAACCTTAACATGCAGCCATTCATTCCAGCTTTTTGAGTATTGAACAAAATATCCATTTCCTAAATTCAATGCTGAAATTAGAGAGAAATCAACATCATCTCAGTAGACTAAAAGTCCCCCCACCCCCCACTGACCCCTCAGCACTATCTCCTACCCACACATGGAGCACACCCTACCATCTCTGACTGAAATAACAATTTAATGCTTCAATCATTAAGCTACCTTTGAAATGCATCTGCCCACCAATTCAGATTTGATGAATGATTACGAGGACATTAATATAATATAAGCCTATTAAACGAAATCATTAATATGTATGACATTGATTGAAGTGTAAATCTTCCCCAACTCTATCATGACGCCAGGAAACAACAAAGTGTATGCTGGACCGGACACTCACAAACACCTGATGACGAATCAATACATTATTGGCACTTTGGACAAAACACATCTGTTCTGGCTCGTAATGTTTGTTTTGGTTGAATACAAAGAAAATGTTCTTGTTATTTGGTTATTATCGTGGTTACAATGAAACAATTCATCAAGGTGCCAAAATACATGATTTATCACTAACCAGTTTATTATCTTGAAATAACCACTATATGATTAATTTTTAATTCTTGTAATGATGACTTCACACTAATGGTGTTGCGGATTCAATTTAGGTTACAATAATATAATAGCTTTGCTGTCATTTTAGGACATTATTCACTGAGACCCATCAGTTACTCCCCATGTAAACCACTGACACATTAAACACATCATGGTTTATAAGTAAACTGAAGTTATTATCATTTTTGACTTATATATATCAATTAACCTTTAGAAAGAACAAATATATAAACCTTCAAAGGTCATTTAGCTTAAACATAATGCTGCAATATGAAAAATAATAAATATCTGAAAGTTAGTTTTATTATATGAACATCTTAACATTATATACATTTTTAAAATATTTTTGTATACAGTTTTATTACCTTAAATAAAAACATGTCTATTGCAATACAAATTGATCATGAGCCATTACTGCAGAAACATTGTGTAACTTGTTTTGCTTGACCTGTGACTTACTTACATTTTCTATCTACAACACTACCAACAGCCTGTCATACCACATTGTTTGTTTGTTTGTTTGATCATTTGACGTCACACTCAGCAATATTCCAGCTATATGACGGCGGTCTGTAAATAATCAAGTCTGGATGGGTCAATCAAGTGATTAACATCATGAGCATCAATCCATGCAATTGAGATACGATGACATGCACCTGACCACCCGATGCCATAAGTCGCCTCTTACGACAAACATAGTCGCTTTTTACGGCAAGCATGGGTTACTGAAGACCTATTCTACCCCAGATCTTCTGTCATACAGACCCTGATACAAATATATCCACATGTTTGGCAAGTCTAGATTACTGCAGTATCAGACAATGAAGAGAGTCTCTGCGCTCCTTTTTATTACATTTTTATTAAGATAATTTAACAATTTCAGAGACTAGATATTAGTCAACATGGGGGCCAATTATCTCATATTTTATCTTTGATCTCCATTGTTATTAAGTCAATCTCATTAAAATCAGATCTTAGTTCTTGCTACCACTAAACAAAGATCTGAGGACATCCAATTACGTGTCGGGTCAGACCGACCTTGCGCGAACTTTGACCGACCAATGGAATGACCAATCAGAAGGCAGCTTTCTCGTGCTTTACGGCACAAATTTCAAATTGGCGACTATGCTTCGAAACATATTTTAACAAATTCTCGATTATAAATTTGAAACCTGAACAAAAAAAACATTCTGGAATGGCTAATAGATGGTCTAGATTGAAAGGATTCAGTCGTTAAACCCATAATTATCGTTCGGAATACCCCATGTTAAAGTTTTCTAGATTGCATGATTAGAAATCACATTCCGACTGTCACTTTCATAATCTGGTAAGCAATGCACTGATTGGTCGGATGACAGGTTGTTCTGACGTGACCCCTAATGGGATGTCTTCAGATCTTCGTTTAGCGGTAGCGAGAACTAAGGTCTGATTTTAATGAGATTGTTATTAAGTAAAAGTGCTTCAAAAAAATTTAATGGCTGTTGGAAAGATGTGATGATAAAGAGATTTATGAATCGTCTGCCTTCTACAGAACTATAAAAAGTAGAGTTACAGACACGTTATTATGAATATCTGACATTAAGTTGTACATGGAGGTCTTCCAGACTGGTTGAGCAAGAGGCTGTTCCAGTTCTACACAAGTGACCCAGTACATCTCTCTTCCTATCACACAGCTGCATGACCATTTTTTTAAACATGCAATTATCTCAGTTTCAATAATTAAGCTTTCTTTCTTGCAAAGTATTACATAAAATGGTAGGAATTCATTTCAAGATTTATGATAGCATCAAACAAAACACTGCTATGATCACATATTAATTTCTATGATGAATTGGAAATGAAAAAAAGGTTTGGAATGAAACCACCCTTCACTAAGTCCTCATCCAGGTTTAAGCACAGAGCAACATGAATTATAAACATGTCTGAAACTTGATTCCATTCTTCTGACATCTTGTGTCGGAGTTACTTCATTCAATTTTCAAACTGGATGTTTAATTAAGCTTGAAAAGATTCAACTTCCACATGATTAAATATTACAGTCTGGCAATGCTTCTCAGATGACAAAGTGTCCTCATTATCAGGCTAGATCTGAGAACGTTAATTAGGATTGTCAAGCTTGTTATCTTACACTCATCAATTAGTTAGTTTCATTAACAGACCATGAAGTGGCCACACTAACAGTCATCACCCCTATCATGGTACACAACAATGTCTGCTATCTCGGGATTGTCCCCGACTGTAACAAGGGATGACATGCTGACTTAATCAGCAGTTATTTAATTCAGGACTCTATGGCGAAGATTTCTCTTGTTTTTCATCTACATACCGTATTTGACGTAATAAGCGCCATGCTCTAATAAGCACCCATGGCGATATTTGCTAATACAGTCAAGTCTCGTTAATCCGACACTCGTTAATCCGACACTCAGCTTTATCCGACACAAATGATGGGAACCGATTGATTCAGCGCTATTTAGTCCCGTTAATCCGACATTCTCGCACTCCGACTCTGACACACCTAATTTGCAACGAATTACCGAAATCACTCATTAATCAGTCTCGTTAATCCGACATAGTGGTCAGCGTACTCCGTGGTCATCTGCCCGCGAGTACACAACCCCGTGTTTTGACACGCACTGGCTGCAGAGATTAACTTTAACAATTAACACTAGATGCCGGGATCATAAAGAATTTCAAGCTTTATTATAAGAAACAAATGAAATTACACCTCGACAATGTTGATGCTGAAGAACCACCAGCCCTAGACGTCAAGCGAACAGGGGACTTTGAGAAATGTGCCTTCAAAATGTGAGAAACAGAAAACACTGACAGACTTTTTTAAGTAGATGAAGCAAGTTGTTAAGACAGTAGCACTTGCATTTACATGAGGAAACACACGGTTATTATCTATCGTGAAGATGTCCAATTTTCGATCACAAATCGCTTAATTTCGTTAATCCAACATACTTGTTAATCCGACACAATCATGTGCAACCAACAATGTCGGATTAACGAGACTTGACTGTATATTGGCTAGTGAACAATCCAAATTAGCACTCCTTCCGATTGATCAACGTACACAAGACTAATTTATCCGTGTATAATACGCACTCGTGCGTTATATGCACCCTTAATTATGGGCAATTAAAATTTGGAAAAATATATTTGTCGTATATAAACATTTCAGGCATAAATCACGAAATTTATCTTTCAACTCTGTTTTACTCACCAAAATAATATTCTAATGAGAGCCCCCTATTTCTAATTTTGAGAGCGCCCTGGTCGCTTATTATGTCAAATATGGTAATTGCTGCAAGGTCTAAAAGATAAATATTTTGCATTTCCTTCAATGTGAAATCCTGACTTCACATTCTATCAAAGTTTCATCAGGTCATAATACATTAATTATTAAACTTTCATCTCCACCTGCTTCCCTACAGGGGGGGTTGGGTAGCCTAGTGGTTAAAGAGTTCGCCTGTCATGCCGAAGACCCAGGTTCCATTCCCCACATGGGTACAATGTGTGAAGCCCATTTCTGGTGTCCCCCGCCATGATATTGCTGTAATATGAAAAGCGGCGTAAAACCAAACTCACTCACTCACTGCTTCCATACAAAACACTGCCTCACATTATTTTTTTGCCCCGCAGTACCTACAGCTGAAGATGTTCACAATACATATTCCCTTCTCTACTGGATGAGATATACCTACAACTGCTTCACAGTTTACATACATCGGTGCCTTCACCCATATATAAAACTAAAGTGCCTCCTGTCTCACTCTTTTGAAAATATTGCATGTAAATATAATAATTAAGTAATTATCACCTAACTCATACTGATTTACAGGCCTCAGCCTGAAGTTTGTCTGATATTAGCCAGGTATGATTTGTTGCTAACATACTGGCCAACAAAACTAATGCTTCAATCATTAAGCTACCTTTGGAATGTTTTTGCCAACCAATTCAGATTTGATGAATGATTATGAGGACATTAAAATAATATAAGCCTATAAAACCAAATCATTAATATGTATGACATTGATTGAAGTGGAAATTTTCCCCAACTCTATCATGACGCCAGGAAACAACAGAGTGTATGCTGGACCGAACACCCACAAACACCTGATGACGAATCAATACTTTATTGGCACTTTGGACAAAACACATCTGTTCTGGCTTGTAATGTTTGTTTTGGTTGAATACAAACAAAATGCTCTTGTGGTTGTGTTATTATCGTGATTACAATACAACAATTCATCAAGGTGGCAACATGCATGATTTATGACAAACCAGTTTAATATCTTGAAATAACCAGATCAAACCACTATTCCTGTTTTAATATTTAAATCTTGTAATGACAACTTCTCCATGATTGGCCCACAAATTTGATCAGTTAATGCACAATATGGCCAATGACATCACAGCAAAAAAAATATTTTGTTAAAAAAGGAGGAGTTTTAAACTTCTTATGGGGCAACTGTCACCAATAATTTTGGTTTAAAACTTCTGTGGTTGTTTTTCCTTCTCACAATTGTCAACCCAATTATGATTTAATCAGACTTGCTGTAAGAAACTATTTCATTCGATAATATTGATGTGCTTGCGCTATCTTGATTGACAGGAATGATAGAACAATGTCACCAAAGATACATGAGTCAGATCACGGGGAAGTAATGTGAACAGGCTCATGACGTCAACCATTTTTGACATAGCTCAAAAAGTGTACATTATCTCATGATAAAGTACTGTCGCCTCCTTTGATGTTTTAGCGAAGTATCTTAGCATTGTTGCCCATATAGTCAGTTGGCACACAGTGAACATACACCATATGGATTATATCATCCAGCGATACAGATTTCTAAATTATAGTGTTTTTCAGGTGATGAGACTATCTTAAGTTCAAGGTTTTAGTTATTGGTCCCGTGCCATGCATGACATGAAGTTGTGGCAGTTGGGTGTACTTACTGTCGACGAGGTTCCTTCTTGCCCGACTCGCTGCGGTACCGAGGTCGGTAAAGGTCTTTGTACCTCCCTTCAGGCTCCGACCGATACCCAGATTCATCTGGAAACACAGAGCTCCTGTACATACCTTGAAATGGAGGTGCCGTTGCACATAACACATTACCGTATCAACGTAATAAGCACTATGCTCTAATAAGCGCCCACGGCGATATTTATTAATATATTGGCGTGTGAACAATCCCAATTAGCACCCCTTCTGATTGATCAATGTACACAAGACATTTATTCGTGTATAATACGCACTCGTGTGTTAAATGAACCCTTAATTATGGGCAATTAAATTCTGGAAAAATATATCTGTATATAAACATTTCAGGCTGTCAGCATCAACCACGAAATTTATCTTTTAACTCTGTTTTTTTCTCACCAAAATACCATTCTAATAAGAGCCCCCTATTTCTAATTTTGAGAGCGGCCTGGGCCCTTATTGCGTCGAATACGGTACTTGGAATTATTTGATTACTTATGGTAGCAAATCCTCACTCGTCCAGTTAACACTGGCCATTCTTTATATAATCATCTTGTTAATTGCTTATGACTGATCACTGGTAGCAAATCCTCACTCGTCCAGTTAACACTGCCCATTCTTTATATAATCATCTTGTTTATTGCTTATGACTCTGATCACTGGTAGCAAATCCTTACATACACCATGAACATACCATTTTCTTCAGTCAACTGCTCGTTCACGTTGATATCTTCACAAAATGATCGGAGCATTGTCTACTGGTGATTACTTACAATGACGTGCATGGCCATATCGTGATGCTATAGAGTTTGGGTGCAGATAGCTGCTAATTTTAAGCTTGCTTACAGAATTAAGTTGACAAAAGCAGGCACATGAATGAACTTACCTTTAACCTTGGAGGGGAATTCATAGCTAGGTTTGTAGGGGTTTATATCTGAAAAAAGCATACAGACATTTCACATCCATGCCCAACCATAACATGACCCAAACATGTCAGGAAAACACCAATTAATTAACTGCAGAACAATTGTCAAAAAATATAACTCAAATAGGAGACTTTGTAAACTACGAAAATTTAACACCTTCATAATATTAAAGAAACTAAATATAGAACATTTACAATGTATTTACTATTTTGACTTTTACACTCATAGGAATATTTTTCGGCAGACAATCGAGACTGATTAGTCTCTGGAGTTGATGTTCTATATTTACTGTCAGTTAACACAAACATGTATTAAATGAATGTACGGCAATTTCAATGAGATTATACATATTTAATTTCTGAAAAACAAATCATGTAATAAACATGATAAACATCCCCTCACATGACACATTCACTCCACAGGGAGTTTCTGCTGTCTGTCTTGTTGCTCGTAACCTTCAGGATATGTTCCCGTATAAAAATTATACGAGAAAAATGATAACACATGTATACCCTATACATACTCTCTAAGTATTCAACTTCCAAAACATTCTTAATGAAGTTTCTGTAGTGAAGAAATGTTACAAGGCAACCCTTTTATTATTTTATATTCATTTGTCTTCAGTTACAGCGAGTGAGTGAGTTAGGTTTAACGCAGCTTTTAACAGTATTCCAGTTATATCATGGCGTGTTACCTTAATGTGGGAGGAAAGCCCCAAGTGATGCAGGTCTCAGACGTTTACAGTTCGGTGAAACCCACAAGCACGGGTATGGTGCTAACAAACCTAGAAACATAATTGAGGCGAACCTGGATTCGAACCCACAATCATAGGTTTCTGGCGTGCCCAAGGGACGCAACTCTGAACAGCGAATCGCAGCACCTTGGGCAACTGGGCTGCCTGTGCCCCCCTCTTCAGTTACAGAATGGCTGCTGCTGAGACTGAAGCTCCCTGGGATGTGAACGTATCTCGTGTGGTACACAGAAGCAGCATATGATTGACAGACATGGAAACACTGCAGAAGCTTACCATGGGCACGACCCACCACCATGGCCGACAATTACAGTGCTGGTCAGAAGTAAGTTACAACAAACCTAGTAACATTTTGTTGTTTCACTGATGACATGCCAAAATGCGAGAGTAAGGCATTGATGTAATAGTGGTAGAGTATTCGCATGAATATAATTATATTCAATACTTTAATCATAATATTTCAGCACAATTTGATCACATAATAAAGAATTTGCACAGGTACTGGTTCAAACTTTTTAATTTAAAAAATGTGATGTTTCAAAAGTATGAAGTTAAAGAACTTAAAACAAAAAAGATATTATTTTGAGAAAGGGTGATCCTAAATCACTACCGGTATTTGTTATAACATACTTATGACCAACTGTGCACAACTTTAATATCATCTTACTCATATACATAGTTACATACCGGTACATAATTGTATATACATCAATATGCTCATAAAACGTGTCCCACTATATCCATAGTGAACTGCTTACAATACATTGCAAGTTTAATCAATAACGTAGTGTGCGGCAATATATATACGGAAACTACATGTTACTGAATAAATCCTTGTATTTTAACAGCAAGTCAAACAGAACTGTGCTCTGGAGATGAAGAAAGGCTTTGTTGGAAGACAAGAGAGCCACAATGGCAACGCATAGTTTAGTCTTCACATGCACAGAGTACATTGGTTAGGTTTTACCAAGCATTCTGGGTCAACTGGGAGGTGTTAGTTCTAGAGGGGGTGGTGGAGGGGGGTAGTACATACCCTGGAGCTGTCTGGGGTGACACCTTCTTGAGGGATAGGAACACAAACTATTGACTTCATCTATAATGTGACTTCTGACTTCCACTTATAATGCGGCACAGTTTGGGTTTTTTAAATTACTGAGAAAAAAAAACAGCTTTGGAAGTTTATCTTTTGTAAACATGTAAACATCCAAATACTTGTTGCTTTTTTTTGTCGTCAGTAGTTACCATTTTCAGAAATAGGAAAATATTATATTGAAATGGCTACCATAATTTCCTTTTCTGTATTAACATCAAGGTAAATATTGCATCAATTAAAAAAAAAGTCATCTTGATTTTTGGATCTGTATTTAACAAACTTGTATGCACCATACTTTAGTATTCCTATCCCTCCTTCTGATGTCCCAAGTACAGAGACAAAAGTGAAGCCATTTCCCGGATATTTCGCTGATCAATGTCAAGGTCAACTTACTACCATTCTCATCCCTTTCACCATTTTGTTTTGGCTTCTTTTCATTTTCATTTTCAGGCTTTTTTTCCGGGGTTTTCGTTTTGGCTAGAACATCATGACATGAAGGATGGAAGTGAACAGAGCTAGCTACGTCGGTGCAGCTTCATACACAATGTCAACTACATCTTCCTAGAAAGACTTCTACACACAGGAAGAGAGTATATGTTTGAAAAAATTACATCAATTTTTTACAAATTATTCAAAACATAATGCATCAAATAAAGAAATTTAACAGTTTTGAGATGAAGACCGAAAATTCATGATGGTAAATTAATACAGAAGGATGCAATAAATGAGGTATTGAACTAATTGAACAAAAGATTTGCACAACGAAAACAGCATTCTCTAAACAAAGAAGAAAACAGAAGTAGGAGTACCTTCCTCAGACCTGGTGTCTGAGACATCATCGGGGAACTGGTAGGTAGGACGGTAAGTATTTTCATCTGAAACAGTACCACCTTTGCTTCACTTCTGTTAACCTTGAGCACATTTGCAAAATGCAGTAAGGGGTAATATCAAATTTTCAAATGCCGATTTTCAAAGTTAATTTCTTAACAGGTCTTGTACCCTGAATATATTGACTGATCCGTCTTGGGGGAATAATTATGTGAGAATTAAGAAATTTTGTTGCCCATCACAAAAATGTTTTCTTCAATCACAACCCAAACCCAACTGAACTCGTTACCCATTTCCTGTTGGACGTCATTATAAATGATTAATTTCAATCTGACCTGCAAAGAATGCTAAATCTTTTAAAAATTGATTGTCTTAAATGTTACTGTTCTAACCGATAGCAAATTTTATCATTCATTAAATTTGTCCATTGCCTTAAAGGGGGAAACGTGTGACTATTTCTTGCTGACATATTAATCTGCATTGAACATAACTTGAAACTCAGAATAAGCACATACTGGACTATTTGCAAGCAAAGCAAATGGCTTACGTTAACCATATTCCAAAGAAATCGTATTATAAACCAAACATGGAATAAACTAATGATAAATATAATTCAAAATTCAAAATATTTTAAAACTGACATGCAAAATAAACCTGCACCATGCATATAAAACCAAAGTAACCCCTGAAACAGAAAAGCTACGGACATGTGTGTGTGTGTGTGTATCAGTTAAAATGTATGTAAGCAACCCCACACCATTAGCTGTGTGAAAATAGACATCTATAGCAGCGTCACATTTCACCTGACACCAGCCATTGACATGTATTAGTGTACTGTAGCCAAAGAACACAAATCTTACCCAGATCTTTCACTGGAGGCAGGAAGAAATATAGCAAGAGATTAATCAAATGAACAATTATTGATTCCATTCAAACATAAATTAATCACAAAAGCTTCTCAATGTTGAGATGCACATCTCACTTTCTGTGAAATTTTGAGAATAAATTTACTGGAATATATAAAACATTTGCAATGTTATTTTATTCAAGTATATTTATACTTATGACTGACAAATGATTGGTCAGTTTTTTTTCTGATGAGAACCTTTCAGCCCTAATTTGTATAATTCTTCCTATGTTTAATAAGTTCCAAATATCAGCTGCAGCAACCATGAAAGAAACATTGCCACAACGCAACAATTATTAATAAAATAGTTACTTAGGCTGCATAAAATGATAACAACACTGGTTACACATAAAATACACAATTCATGTTCTACCACTTGGGGATTAAATTTAACCTTATTCCCAGTGTATATTATTGAAAGATTGCATCATACATTCTTACTTGTGACACATGAACGCTGCCTATGTACTTATCCTCATAGTGGAATACATGCGACATAGATTCTTTAAAGCTTTATTTTCATTTTGTTACAGTAAGTGTATCTAAGGCTGTTGGGTGATTAATTGGCCTTAACAAATTCATGATAACATCACATTTACAGGGTGAAAAAGAGCTGGAATGCATTATATTTTCCAAAAAGATATACATATCACATATCTACGACACATTTTAAACAGCCCAATTTGCGAAAGAAAACAGTCAAATAGAAAAAGAATGTCATACAATATAGCAAGTCTCATTACATTCCACAAACCATAAACTCTTGCCATGCATTCATCAACAGCACTGCTCACACATGGCAACAAAACATGAGGTGTGTTAAAGTGTCACACAAGGGTTGGGGCTTGTGTTTTTGACAATGTTTCAGCAATATCATCACAGCAAGAGACCTATGTGGGGAATGGAACTCAGCTATTCAGTGTGACTAGGCAACACTTTAACCACCTGGCTAACCCACGGCTCTGTGACAGTGGACAGATACCACTGAATACGCATGGTACCAACACAGGAGAAGTGGATACTTATCAAGTGGACTGGTATCCAGAGTTGGTTAGCTGTTGGTACCGTGAACACATACATGTCTTCACACTGCTGGGTTCCGTGAACACATACATGTTTGTATTCACACTGTTAGGTACCCCAGTGAACACATACATGTTTCTTTTCTCACTGCTAGATCCAGCAGTGAACACATTCATGTTTGTCTTCACACGGCTAGGTACCATGAACACATACATGTTTGTCTTCACACGGCTAGATCCAGCAGTGAACACATTCATGTTTGTCTTCACACGGCTAGGTACCATGAACACATACATGTTTGTCTTCACGCGGCTAGATCCAGCAGTGAACACGTTCATGTTTGTCTTCACACGGCTAGATCCAGCAGTGAACACATTCATGTTTGTCTTCACACGGCTAGATCCAGCAGTGAACACGTTCATGTTTGTCTTCACACGGCTAGATCCAGCAGTGAACACATTCATGTTTGTCCCCACACGGCTAGGTATTATGCTGAACACTTAATTTCAGGCTCATGCACTCAACACTGCACAGCTAACAATCGCAGGCACAAACAGCTGTTAGGCAATGTGTATTTCAAACCAGGAAATGAACGCTCTTCTCCGGAATGTATTACTCACTGACATTTATGTGTGGTGGAGGCATAATATTGTCATGTGATCTTTTTAAATAAACCAAAACTGTGCATTGGGGTGAATTCTTGATGCTTGAGCGTCATGCTTAGATGGTAATAGGCAAACTATTGTAGACATATTCAGCATTGACAATATATCTGACAAGACAAGACAAGTAACATATGTGAGCCACATTATTGAAACGTTTTGACAAGGGGAACGAAGGCATCTACAACAGATGCAGATGTGAGAATGTCATCAAATGTAAACTGGATGAAGCTGTTCGAATCGGTTATCATGCAAAAATGAAGGTTCTTCATCACGGACTGAGGTCAGAAATGACTGTTGCATAAGAGAGGTATGAGGTCAGAAATGACTTGTATAAGAGAGGTATGAGGTCAGAAATGACTTGTATAACAGAGGTATGAGGTCAGAAATGACTTGTATAAGAGAGGTATGAGGTCAGAAATGACTTGTATAACAGAGGTATGAGGTCAGAAATGACTTGTATAAGAGAGGTATGAGGTCAGAAGTAACTGTTGTATAACAGAGGTACGCTGTAACCTAGATCATTTGGTTTGATGAACACATGGGAAAGGTTTAGTTAGTACGGAGCTGCCTCTCAGTCCACTCACAGATGGGCTTCTAGCTTATGACTGGCGTCTGGCAGAATGTAGCTAGGGGTCTACTTTCACACAGACAATATTATCATGCACTACGACCAACTCAGTTAAACTACAAGTGTCTTATTGGATTCAATGAGGTTGATTAAGAACATGGGCACAGAATCATTTCTTCTTTTAACATATGTAAACCTATTAGAAAAACAAATAGATGTTTGGAATGAAAGTTGCCCAAATGAAGGAATAGCGGAACAAACCTTTTCACACAAATGTCCAAAAATATTTTTGTTTCATGACACTGAGGAAGTGGTATGTATTAAGAGAATATAAAGTATCAAATATTTACTCCATGTAAATGACAACAGTTATCTGATTCAACAAAGTGGAACAGTCCCACAAAGAATTACCATTTTTGAGAAGAGAAAACATCATGACAACATGAAGTACTGAAACAATGGAGGTCTATGGAGGAATGTGTCCTTCACAGGAGCATGGACACAAAGGATGTTGGTGATGGTGCGGATGTTGATGATGGAGATGGAGATGGTGCGGATGTTGATGATGGAGATGTTGGTGATGAAGGTGATGAGTTAAGACAAGGGTGGATGGGTGATCTACACAGACACGGTGACACATGCTGACAGAACTGACAGGCCATTATAGACAGGAATGCAGTTGGGAACAACAGAACTTTATAAGATGTTTAACCTCATTCCCGTATTCGACGCAATAAGCGCCCAGGGCGCTCTCAAAATTAAAAAAAGGGGGCTCTTATTAGAATATTATTTTGGTGAAAAAAACAGAGTTGAAAGATAAATTTCGTGGTTTACGCTGACAGCCTGAAATGTTTATATACGACAGATATATTTTTCCAGAATTTAATTGCCCATAATTAAGGGTGCATATTACACATGAGTGCGTATTATACACGAATAAATAGGTCTTGTGTACATTGATCAATTGGAAGGGGTGGTAATTGGGATTGTTCACCAGCCAATATATTAGCAAATATCGCCATGGGCGCTTATTAGAGCGGGGTGCATATTACGTCGAATACGGTACTTCAACATCTTCATAGATAGCATCATCCTGTTGTTGTTCCAAGTCAATAGAGAACTTTTCAGAAATAAGGTGAATTTTAATGCCAAAACTAAAGAAAAAGTTTTAGTTAACCTTCGCATACATTCCACTACAATGGCCTAACAATTCTTTCTAACAAATACTGAACATAACCCGAATGCTTTAAGCACCTGCGTCCTCGAAAATGGAGTCTATGAGCTTGTTAATTCCAAGTATCCCATCTGCAAAAGACCGGTGCACATTGCATAACTAATCATCAAGTGTAGACAACAACCAGCACCAGTGCAGCTCGAGACAGCACATCAAGGGAGATAATCACAGACATACAGTGTACAGGACAGACACTGGGGAAAGCTTGGATGTGCGATGATGGGAAGAACAGGAATTATCTTATTTCTATAAATGGAAGTAATGTGTCTAAAGGTAAATTCTTTATATCATACAGTAATGTCAAATTTAAGTTTGTCTCAAAATCTATTTTTTTTATAAATGTTGAATATTAATTTAACTTTTTGCAGCTTTGTTTTGGCATGAAGTCAGTCGAAATAGACATTTAAAAAAAAGAAGATAAATATCTATACAATCTGAACCGTTTCATGCTAATATTTTCGTCATTTAAATCAGTAAAATAATCTGAACTAAAATTCAATCCAAAATATTTAAAATCATGACAAAAAACAGGGGAGTGATTGATTATATATATATATATATATATATATATATATATATGCACTGTGCATGTTCAAGAGTGCACCAATAGATAACACCAAACACCAAACACTGGCAGCCATACTGGACTACATGTACACACCAAGTCAGGGGGTATCTATCCTGGGGAGTACAACCTGGCCACTCTGCATACACCTTTCTCACTCTCAACTCCATCGCAACTGCATGCACCTCTCTCACTCTCAACTCCATCGCAACTGCATACACCTCTCTCACTCTAAACTCCATCGCAACTGCATACACCTCTCTCAATCTCAACTCCATCGCAACTGCATACACCTCTCTCACTCTCAACTCCATCGCAACCTGCTCCACAAAGCTGCCACAGTGCTAGAACCATCACTACAGTAAATGACAGTCTTTTCTAAGATTTGTTTGTGGACTTTGCTAATTACAGTAGTGGATATTGTTCCTTTAATAATTAACCAAAACTATATTTTCTAACATTTCAAAAATGTGAAGGAATGAATATACCCTTTTTGACAACAGTGTAAGTTTAATGAAGGAGAAACATGCAAGCTCCTGTTTTGAAAGTCTATCGATATGTCTGAGAATTTGTTTGATGCTTCACATTTACAAACATATCTCAGTAACACTAATTAACAGAACCCCGATATCGTAACTCTCCTGCAGTTTCAAGACAACTCTGTGGAACAGGGTCCAAGTCAAATCTAATCCTCCATTTGTACTAGCAGGGAGGGAAAAGTCCATATACAAAACTTCACACTCTTTCTTCTATGAAAGCATGATACAACGAAAAGTCAAGTCCAACAGAGTAATGCATCTCGACTCCATTCCCTTCCATACGACACAGCTGTGTGACAGACAGACAGACAGACAGACAGACACCCACCTTCCTTCTCCTTCTCAGTCCGGTGCAAACTCTTGTACATCTGTCGGTACCATGCGTGTTGGTTCTCTTCGTCAATGTTCTGCAAATATAGCTCTCGTTATTTAGATCCATTCATTATGATTGACTGATTGATTGATAGAGTATGGTTTTCCGCCGTTCTTAGCAATATTCCAGCAATATCATGGCAGGGGACACCAGAAATGGGCTTCGCACATTGTACCCATGTGGGGAATCGAACCTGGGCCTTTGGCACGACGAACGAACTCTTTAACCACTAGGCTTCCTAAAACTTCACTAAATCGCAAAAACACATCTTGGATAAAAAAAATTATGAGAACTTCATATCAATTAAGCGGTAGAAAGGCTAGATTCCTAGCTCACAAAGTATATATGATGGCCACATTAGTTGAGAAACCACATGAAACAAAGTCTGATATATACAATATACCAAATCAATTTTTGCAAACAAATCCCGAGCTGATATGACCCATGTTTGTGAAAACAAGATTTAACTTGATTCCAATGTCTATCAAACCATTCTAAAAAAGTGGCACACCCTCTGATCGAAAAATCTGATTCTGTCAAAAAGTCTGATCCATATGATCTCATGAAAAACCATTCCTTCCTTGGCAAACAAATCACAATGCCAGTATAAAAAGTAGTGCACATTCCAATGTCTCCCAAACCTTTCTGAAGGCAAGAGGCACACCCTCTTGATCTAAGGGACCGATTCCATCATATTTCTTGGGTCGATGCTCAACAGTTTTGGTGGTCGTTGTTTCCTCCGTAGTAGGCTGGGCATAGTAGGTGTCTGTATGTACCTGGTCGCCGTCAACAACGTCTTTCTTTCCCAGGTACACAGCACCCTTTGGAATCTGTCCCTCTGGAGAAAAAAGAAGCTTTACTGACATCGTCTGTAGTGCCTATTATCATTATTATTAACCGTTTTGAAACTGATGAAAATGAAGTCTTCAGGTCTTAGGAAGTCTCAAAAGGAAGTAAAATGATTTTGCACAACAAATTATGAAATTAATGCAAGTAGTTTCTAGGTCAAGTTGAGAAGCGTAAAAACTTAAAGAAGAAATATAAACAAAACCGATTGCACAGAAACATCAGAATTAAATGAAAAAGATCAGAACTGACAAAAAGTTCAACCAATACCCAGAAATAACTACTAACTAAAGCAGCTAGCAGAAAGCGAATGTGACAAGAAAAGTTGTGTGATCACAGCAAATTGTTGAAGAAAACAAAGAAAAATTGTGATTGTTTTATACCCAAACCAAGGACAATAAACATAAATAATAACCTAGTCCTAACATGCTCTTAATCAGATTATCACAATATACAATATACAGCACATTTCTCTATCTCCAAACACATGATATACACATTATGTACAATAATATACATTCTCCACAACACTGAATTAGTGGTTCATACATATTTATTTAATATGAAGGTATTCTGGATCCAGAAATAAAACCAGACATGAATTTCTTTTAAATACTTCTACAAATTTAACATTTAAAAATTGTGTAAAAATGAGAAGAAATTCTTACTCAAATGTGCAAGAGACGTCATTCTTGTTTTTAAATTTTGAATACAGAAAGCAAATTTAAATCAATTAAATTTTCATAATACATCTGACATAGTAAACATGTTTCACAAGTGAATATTTTTCACCAACTGTTCAGGCATGGTAGTGCAGCACTCGGTGGTGTTAATGAAATACACGTGAATCTGAAATTGTTTCAAAAGGTTGAAAAAAACACTTTGATGATTGCCTAAAAAGTAAAATTTGGTACAATTCAGAAGCACTGTTTCATATTTTCATTATTTTTCAAAGTAAATGAGGCATGCTGGAAAACTTGAAATAAAAAGTACAAATATCAAATGATTGTCATTGGAACACAGACAGAATATGATGATTATGAAGGTTAAAACAGCATGAAAACACAAGGAGACTTCTTGGGAGAGAATATTGCTTGGAAAACACTGTCACGATACAATGATATTCATCTTTATAAAACTATCATCACCTTTATAGGGCAATCAGTTCTAGACAAATTTGTTAACAGTATCAACTACAAGCAACATCATTCCCTCAAGAGTAGTCTCCCCTTGACCAAAGACAGAGCATCAATGATGACAAAGGTTGTAAATAACACTGAAAAAAGATGATGATGATGATGTTATTATAGAATTCATGATTGAACCTCAAATTGTTAGCTGGTCTGCTTGGGGAAAATTTATTATTTCAGCACAAGGTTCAGAAACTCCATTCCAAACTCCAAAATATAAGTATCAACTCAAAATGATACAACTTAAAATCATTTAGAATTTTTCCATCTGTTTGCATGTCATAAATAAAATGATTTGGAAATGTATTTCTTTTAAATGAAAGAAAATACCAATAACAACTTTGTGGTCAATAGTTGTGGTCAATTACAGTACAATACTGTGACTATAGTGCAAGCAATGCGTGAAGCGATCTACTGGTCCAATATGTCCAGAGTAGCTGATAGTCTTACCCGAGTCCACCATAATTGGTTTGTCTAGTAATTTCTCATCAAGATTTTCAAGTTCTGAAAAAACATGGATGATCAACAACTACTGCTCTCTCAAACTGTGCATATCCTTTTCCTCTGGGTAAAGGTATTCAATTTTTCTTTCTTCTGGCCAAAACATTTTTGAAAAAAAACACATTTTCTCACACCTACAGAGCTTGTAACTATCTACATTTTTATCTGTGTGTATACAAATCTGTATTTGATTTTTAAAAAATAATTTAAATCCCTTTTAAGTTACATTTTCAAAACCTTTTTTTTTTTTGTAAATATATTTTTCAAATTTGTTATGCCCTCATCAGGGGCCACTTGCACAAAGCGATCTTAGCGCTAAGACTATTATAAGCCTATGTTAAAGTATGGGAGTTACAATCATCTTAGTGATAAGATCGCTTTGTGCAAGTGGGCCCTGAAGATTATTTTCAAAACAAATTTCCATCCCACATTTGTAAACATTTACAACCACATAGCCAGTTCTAGGACAATACATTCTGGTCAACAATATCCAAAGCATACGTGATGCTACCAGGCCTACTCTCTGTTACTGAGAAGTGCGTTGAGTCACCAGACAGGATAGATATGTGGCTATATACTGTGAAACCAAACCCATCACAGGTAGTAAGAGGGAAGTCAAAATGCAAAATGAACGTAAGTCAAACAACATTCTGTCCCCCTCATGCACTAGGAGGCTGAAGAAGAAGGTACCTGTCTTCAAGGTTTTTATTCGACGTTTTGGTTTGAAAACCTCATCGGGCAAATCATTGTCCAATTTGTTTTCCAAATACACACGGGCTACAAGATTATACACAAAAGCTTCAGTTGTTTGTCCTCTATATATGATCAAGCTGAAATATTCATCTCAATTAACTTAAATGTTTTGTTTTGCATTGTATCGAGCTAGAGGTTTGCAATTAAGTCATTGAAGTTTTAGATTCAAATTTTGTAAGATTGTCTTGCCAGTTCAAGAACTAAATATATGTAAAGAATATACAACAACAATAAGATTGATGATTCAGTAAATAAAATTACAGAATCTTTGATGAATACAGAATTAAATCATAAGAAATAAACTTTAAATTGAAATTGGGAAAATATTCATGACGCATGAGTTAACATTTATAAACAAGAATGGCCGTCCAACTCACCTCGACTCTTCTGCAACAAGGTGATATAGGGGCTCTGTGTTGGGGGTAATCTTAGGTCATCTTTGCTGTTACCTAGTGCACTACTGCTATCTACGTTGCCGTTCATATGAGCCGTGTCCGCTATTGAAAGTCCTGATACTGAGTTTGTTGGGACACTACTGGACGGAACGGACGAAGGCGTTACGGATATATCACTTGCCACTCGTACATCAAGTTCCGGTCTACTCCGTTCTTCGGGTTTCCATGAAAAACTGGGCGGTTCCGATGTGGCTGAAGGAGGGTTGGAGTACTGGAATAGACATGGTAAACAGTGACAATAACTTTTCTGGAGATCGCCAAGCAGAGGAGCTTGGCAACTGTTTGTGTTGGTTGTTGGTTGGTTTGTTGTTTAACGCCGCACTCAGCAATATTCCAGCTATATGACGGCAGTCTGTAAATAATCCGAGTCTGGAATAGATTGACATCATGAGCATCGATCCACCAATTGGGATCGATGACCGTGCTTCAACCAAGTCAGCGAGCCTGACCGTCCGATCCCGTTAGCCGCCTTTTACGACAAGCATAGTCGCCTTTTACGGCAAACGTTGGTTGCTGAAGACCTATTCTAACCCGGAATCTTCACGGCAACTGTTTGTGTCCTGGTTTAATCTGAACCATTCAAAGCCAAGACTGGAAGCAGTCTCTGTTTCAATATAATGTAACAAAACCAAAATAATATTTTTAAAAATCTTTTTCCAGAATTCTTTTCCATAAACTCTATTTTATAACATTTGTTAACAATGTTTAAATCTGATTTATTTTGTTCATTTTGTGTGTTTACTTGTTTAAAGTTTCTTGAGGCAATATTTACAAGACACCATCATAAAAAAACTCTCCAGAAAGCCACATACAAACATTTACACATTATACAATGGAAATCCAAAATTAACATAGTGTAATGAAAGAGAAAATCAGTAACACTTGTGATGAAAAAAACCCAACCCAAAATAGTCTGATACTTTACAAGTTAAAATGATGCCAAATGTTTACATAGTGTGTTTACTTAATTTTTCTAAAAACAAGTCCTGATGAAGGTAGCTCCAAGTTTAGAGCATCGTTATAATCCTGCCCAGCTGGCTACATGTGTTGTAAGCTGATCACTGTCTCCTTCACTAGTCCTTCACAAAGTTCTAATGTTAATAAAACTCCATTCACATTTAACCATATTATTAACAAAACCATAAAATAACACACGAAGGCTTACTATAATAATTTTCCCCAAAAAATGAATGATATGGGTTTTATACCACTATAAACAGTATTTCAGTTATATCACAGCATATCAAGTTGACAGGGAGGAGAGCCTGAAGTGATGCAGGCGTCGGTGGGTTACTACTTTGGTGAATCCCTGAGCCCCCTTGAGGAGTTGCAAGACCGAGGATCATAATCAGGGAACATCAGAGATTTAAACGTATGATCAGCAGATCAACTGTGTCACAGGCCGGCAACTCTGCACAACCAACTACAGAGTCTTCGACAACTGGGGCATCCATGCCCCTCAAACATTTGAAACACACATATAATATGCACAGATTTGACAAGTGGAAAGAAGCACCCATAAAATCTCCACTTTTCTCCACCTCTCATCCTATTTTTTTGGAACCAGTCTCCCCCTTAACCCAGTTATACGATAGCAGTGACCCACCCTGGCAGTGGCCCATCCTGTCAATGGCCCATCCTGTCAATGGCCCACCCTGGCAGTTGCCCACCCTGGCAGTGGCCCACCCTGGCAGTGGCCCACCCTGGCAGTGACCCATCCTGTCAATGGCCCACCCTGGCAGTGACCCACCCTGTCAATGGCCCACCCTGGCAGTGGCCCACCCTGTCAATGGCGCATCCTGTCAATGGCCCACCCTGGCAGTGGCCCACCCTGTCAATGGCCCACCCTGGAAGTGGCCCACCCTGTCAATGGCCCATCCTGTCAATGGCCCACCCTAGCAGTGGCCCACCCTGTCAATGGCCCACCCTGGCAGTGGCCCACCCTGTCAATGGCCCACCCTGGCAGTGGCCCACCCTGGCAGTGGCCCACCCTGTCAATGGCCAACCCTGTCAATGGCCCACCCTGTCAATGGCCAACCCTGTCAATGGCCCACCCTGTCAATGGCCCACCCTGGCAGTGGCCCACCCTGTCAATGGCCAACCCTGTCAATGGCCCACCCTGTCAATGGCCCACCCTGCCAATGGCCCACCCTGACAGTGGCCCATCCAAGGGGTGGCCAACCCTGTCAATGGAAAGACTTCTCAGTCTAACAAGCTTATCTCCACTGGGTGTCTCCACTGCTCACCTGTTTTGGCTTAGGCGTTATAGGTTTAGATGTGTCGAGCTTCACAGGTTTGAATTCTTTCCTGGCGCGAGCCGGACTGCCCCCAGGTGTCCAGACAGGGGCGATATGTTTTAGACTGGCGTCTTCCCGCTGTCCTTCCGATCTGGGCGGTGTCACATCAGCCCGGAATTTGGACGGTTGAAGTCCAGGTGTCCAAACACCTGAAAAACAAAAGATTGTCATTGAGTTTTCTCTTGATTTTTTCTCTGCATATTGTGAGTGAGTTGGGTTTAACGCTGCTTATAACAGTATTCCAGTTATATCGCGGCGTGTCAGCTTAATGTGGGAGGAAAGCCAGAAGTGATGCGGGTCTCAGACGTTTACCACTTCGGTGAAACCCACGAGCACGGGTATGGTGCTGACAAACCTAGAAACATAATCGGGGCAAACCGGGATTCAAACCAACAATCATAGGTTTCTGGCGTGCCTAAGGGACGCAACTCTTTCACAGCGAATCGCGGCGCCTTAGACGACTGGGCCACCTGTGCCCCCCTGCATATTGTAATTGAGGTCACAGAGTATTAGTATACCATATCATGTTTCCTATAGTTCCAGTATAAAGAAGAGCCATTTGTGTACTTAGGCCAATATTAAGGTGATGAGTGTGGCACCATGATGCTGACAAAATGAAGTGACAATTGGTATACGTATTCCATAATGACTGAACTACAAGCCAGTTCTACTCCTGTGTTGTCAGTTTCTACCAAATATTCCCACCATTGACACCATTGATAAATGTTGAGAGACCAACCTGCTTTAGATGATGATGGAGACGACCCTGATCTTTGATGGGAAATACCTGGTTGTGTCGGAGCTTGCTGTTTCTCTGTGAACATATTGATATTATATGGCATACCACAAGATACATGGTAGAAGGGGTGGTGGTGTTCCATGTACTTTACACAACACTGGATCAGCAACATTCACTAATCTCTTTATCAGTTATTACCAAAAATGAAAATGAACTGAAGAAAGACAGTTGTTTGTATCATTGACAAGTGAAATATTGGATGATAACTGACTTCGATCCATTTCCTTTGTCTCCAGTATAATTCTCAAATTTGACATACTGGTACAATGTATATATGTGTGTACCTTGCCATATTTAAAAATGCTTTCAAGAAAATGCAGACCTTGTAAGAGACCCACCTCTGTAGGAGACTCATCACTCAAGAAAACTCACTGTCGCTGTAGGCCCACCCCTATAGGCGACCCACCCACCACAAGATCCACCTCTCTAAAGACATACCCCTATAGAAGACCACCCATCATAAGATCTACCTCTCTAAAGACATACCCCTATAGGAGACCCACCCACCACAAGATCCACCTCTCTAAAGACATACCCCTATAGCAGACCACCCACAACGAGAACCACCTCTCTAATGACATACCCCTATAGGAGACCACCCACCACAAGATCCACCTCTTTAAAGACATACCCCTATAGGAGACCACCCATCATAAGATCCACCTCTCTAAAGACATACCCCTATAGGAGACCACCCAACATGAGATCTACCTCTCTAAAAACATACCCCTATAGAAGACCACCCACAACGAGAACCACCTCTCTAAAGACATACCCCTATAGGAGACCACCCAACATGAGATCCACCTCTCTAAAGACATACCCCTATAGGAGACCACCCAACATGAGAACCCCCTCTCTAAAAACATACCCCTATAGAAGACCACCCACAACGAGAACCACCTCTCTAAAGACATACCCCTATAGGAGGCCCACCCACAACGAGAACCACACGTGTAGGAGTCCCACCCACCATGAGACCCATCCCTATAGGAGACCCACCCACCATGAGACCCACCTGAGTAGGATGTGTTGATGGACTGTGAGGCAGGACTACTGAAAGATTCTTCTGAAACAGATACACAACTGACATCACTCACTGCCATCACTGGTAACCAAAACACATCAACAGATTCAGCAAAACCACAAAAACATCACAAAGCAATAACAGTTTGAATCACAAAATCAAACTAATCACATACTTGTAACTGAAAGCATGACACGCAATAAGCAATTGGTCAATTCCTCATCCTGCTCACACAAATGAATCTTGGTAACATTTGGGTCTGGTCCAGTTCACCAATGGTCCAGCATTAATGAATGGTTTCCTACAAGATTCACAGGTTGAACCTACCCAACCTGCTGACAAGGCAAACCTAAAACACACAATAAGCTAAAACTGTATCTTTCAGAAACCATTTTATCCAAAGTGCAAAGAAAACAGACCTACCAAACTGAACAAAACCATCCATCTTCCATGTAGCCATTTGTTGAAAATATAACTATTCTTTCAGTCACCTAGCTCCTTGCTCCAAACCTACATATTTTCCTATCATATTCCTCTGAATTAAAACCTTTCCCAGATAAGGCGCCAAGGTTTAAGATGTGCACTAGAGCCCAGATTAGATACATCAGGCAGTATAGGGAGACCTGTTCCCCATTCACCAGCGGTTCAGTCACAAATACAGCATCAAACCACACCACTATCAATGTGTGGTGGTGAAATAAGATTAGGAAATAAATAACTCCAACATGAAAAATACCAGACTCAATGTGTTATTTACAGAAAAACAGAACGGATATTCTCGAGCTTGTTCTCATTATTAGAATAAAATTCTTTTGAATTTTGTTTTAGAAGTTTCAATAGCCAACCAGAACAACCAGATAAACATCTTTCTCTTTTCAAGAAATTCACAAATTTGCGAACAAGTTCATTACACATACTATGGTTGATAAAAGTTCACTAAAAACCCAAGAAGTAAAACTTAAATTCAATTTCTAACCCAAACAAAAAGGGCAAAAGACATATTTATTACACATGAAGATCATTAATATTTCACATTTTACATTTCAATTTTATCCCCAACTAAAATTTTCATACTTGTGTGTAAATGAGTTAGGTTTCCCTGAACAAATTTCATTGATCCGAAAATCAAAATATGAAATATTTCCGACAAAACAGAGTGACCCTGAACATGGATTGTTCATCCAATAAACACAGTAACCATCGCAGAAACCTCTCCAGCAGTTTACTATGTACATCTACTGTAACACAGTCTTAACAACTCTCCTCAGAGTACAGCTAACGTGACTGCCGTTGGTTACACTTCACATGTACCACTTGCTGACCTTTACACAGTGGTATGTCATTACATTGATGGACGTAATCAAATACAAATTGTCTGTGGGAGTCAACAATGCAATCAGGATAGTAGGGGCATTATCAATATTGACAATACATAGTAATAAAGCATAAAGGTCAAATGTAAGTATGCCGACAATCAAGCTATATTCTAGCCCTCATGTGCTCATCAAAGTCTGTGTTGAACAATCCTGGAGGGAAAGCAACCAGGGCCCACTTGCACAAAGCGATCTTAGCGCTAAGATGATCGTGACGCCCATACTTTAACATGGGCTTACAATAGTCTTAGTGCTAAGATCGCTTTGTGCAAGTGGGCCCAGGTCTACTTACACTGTACACATACAAGATGTAGTAATGAGTTGGTATGGCTTAAAATATCAAGCAATATGTCAGTCACATTCCATCATGGCTGGGGATACCAATGTAGGAACTGAACTAGGTCGGTGGAGTGACAACAAGCACCTTATCTACCTGGCTACCTACAGTGCCAATTTCACGTCACAGCAGCAGACAATAAAGAGTCTTGGAGTCAAGATAGCGTCAGCGTAATCAGTCCTGAACATGACAGTTGTTGGTATAAAATGTAATCAGAGAGTGAGTGAGTATGGTTTTAGGCCGCTTTTAGCAATATTCCAGCAATATCATGGCGGGAGACACCTAAAATGGGCTTCACACATTGTACCCATGTCGGAAATTGAACCCGGGTCTTCAGTGTGATGAGCAAACGCTTTAACCGCTAGGCTACTCGACCGCCCAAAAATGTAAGCTTACAATCGTGTCCTTGATTCAGTGGGTCAAGGCTGAGTTGGGCTGACCTCATGGCCACCCACCCCAACAGTGGTCCTACTTTGGACCCATTGTGACCAGCCAGTCCCCAATATACCATTACAAGAATGGAGTACTGTCACCTCCAGTCAATAGACGGAAATATTTGTCAGAGCAATCTCCACTGATGTCCATGTTACACCAGTGAATCAGTTTTATATCCACAGGTTTGAGATTAGGCTTGAAGGCAGAGAAATTATTCTCAAACCACATTAATTACAATTGTACCCGTAAACTGAATTCTGAGTGTGTTGGATTTTACACCGCTTTAAGCAATAATCCAGCAACATCACGAGGACACCTGAAATGGGCTTCACACATTGAACCCATGTGGGGAATCTAACCCAGCCTTCAGCATAACGAGTGAATGCTTTTACCACAAGACTACCCAACCACCCCTAACTGAATTATGAAACCACACAAATTTACGATGACCTGAAAATTAGCTTTTCTTATAATTTTTCATAAATCATCTGAAATTATGATTTATGACAAAGCACCATAAACATTGGGTAAATATTCCTACAAATTAAGAAAATTATTAATGCAACACTAAATAATATGGACAGAGGAAGAAATTTCCCCAAATGAAGAAAAGATTATTTGCTCCGTGCCCACCCCACAATTCCAACAAGAGTGAAAACAATGAGTACTGGTCATCAAAGATGGCAGACCTAAATAAGCATAAGTCATAACAAAGAATCAACTCTAACTCTTTCACATTCATGTAGACACTTCATTCAATACTAAATAACCACATATAAAGAACACATCTATGTCTACAATACCAACTAGGGAGGGAGAATGTGGAAATATGCATATCAATGGTCTGCCATTTATAGGTGAATATTACATCGTGATATTAGTTTCCATTATAAATATGTATTTTCATTAAATGCTCCTTGATAAACACCGATGTTACACGTAAACTACAACATTAAATGCTCCTTGATAAACACCGATGTTACACGTAAACTACAACATAAACATACGTTATAGACAACATTCATAAGTTACACTTTATGTGAGATTTTGATTAGAATGTGCTTGTCAAGAACTTCTTCCAGTTTACAGTTAGGCATGTCTACATTTAATTGTTATCGTGTTATGGCAACAATATTCTACATGTTAATAAGCAAGATAAATCTCTTTAAACTCATTTCCATAAGCATGGGTTTGGGTATCATCACTTATTGTTTATTTTAGCAAAAAATGTACCTTTGCAACAAGTATTCTAGGCTCACTTTTTTCTTTCCAAAATCATGCATCTTAATATCCTTACAAGCCTTAAGCTTCTACATGCAGGATTTGCATAGGAAGCCGTTTTCAATATATCTTGAAGTCCAAAATGTAGATGCTTTTTTCATCATGTCTATAAAGCAATGTCCAAATGTCCACTTGGCATGTTGCAAACTCATGCAACTAGCACCAGTAGGTGGGAACATCATACTATGGGTAATGCCACAACACTGAAGTCTACAGGATATCAATACATTTCCAGTGAACGATGACACTTATGGTGATGATGGTACTGGTGTGAAATGGGACAATGTTAAATGACAATATGAATTGAAACAATTTTCTCTGGATGCAATATTTTCACTTGGTAAAATATTATAAATAAAAATAAGAAAAATGATTTTAATGGATACCAATATTTTTAAAAACAACATTAAAATATCAAATGTGGTAGCCCCAAAACCAAATCATACATTTTTAAAACGAATGTTACGTGTCAGTGATGTGTTTGTGTGTCGTTAGTTCCATGCATCTACGTGTAACTCCACGGCACACGCAAACACCGACCATGCCTTGGGTGAGTCATGTGATTGGTCATGTGACTTGTGCTCCATTGCCATGCACTGCAATCTTGCTAGACTGGGCAAGTCAGTCAGCAGTCAACCAATACCTGTGTTGAAGGAGGAGCTGGCACCACCGAGACCAGCACTGGGCCCAAGGCTCAATCCAGGTCTATCATCCTGGGATGTTCCTTCATCTGGGCTCTTTACTCTTCCTGTCTGCTCATGGACAACCTGGATTGGAATCAATGAGTCTTTGGAAATGATTGTATCTCGCGAATCGGAGCTCGTAACGTTTGAGCTCGGAGGTGACCTTGACTCGCCTCCTGACATCAGGTTGTAAGAGAGGTCTGTGTTGGTCCATAGCGGTTGAGAGAAGTCAGGTTGTTCTGTGTCTCTAGATTGGGATGACTGAGGCCTAGGTTCTGGCTCCAGTTTTGGTTGAGTGAAACTACTTTGATTTCGTTTTGGTTCTATGAAGCTTCCCATGTTTTGATCTGTTCTGTGGCCTGGTAAATGTTGTTCACTAGCGGACATGTTATTTTTACTATCTTTTATTCCTACAAAGTCAACTTTCTTGTGTGACCTCAGTGGCTTAATTGTAGGAAGTGTGGAATAAAGGTTGAAATCAAAGTGTCCATCATCATCCCTAGCATCAGTTGTCTCTTCCTTCTTCCAGGAAGATTTCTTAGCTGGTAAAGTGGCGTATGATCCAGCACCATAATTGGTGGATTCAGAAGAGACACCTCCATATTTGGCAGACTCTGTTGGACCACCATATTTGGTAGATTCTTTTGGGCCCCTACCATATTTTGCAGATTCTGTAGGATCACTAGCAAATTTGGCAGACTCTGAAGGACCACCATATTTGGCAGATTCTTTAGGGCCCCTACCATATTTAGCAGATTCTGTAGGATCACCAGCAAATTTGGCAGATTCTTTCGGGCTTCCACCATATTTGGAGGAGTCTTTAGGACCAAGTCCATGTCTGGTTGGCACTGTTGGACCACCATTTCTCATGGGCTCTGATGGACCACCATGTCTGCTGGATTCTGTAGGACCACTGTGTCTCATTGGCTCAGATGGTCCACCCTGTCTGGCAGGCACCGACGGACCACCAACTCTTGTAGGCTCTGGTGGACCACCGTATCTAGAGGACTCTAGGTCACGAGACATTGGAACATGTTGCTCCTGAGGCCTAGACGGTTTCTTCACTTGGAGGGTGGAGTATGATCCTGGTGCAAAGGTACTGTTTTCCAGAACTTTGAGGCCTGGAGGTTCCTCCTGAATTCTATGAGATTTCTTGATCGGTAAGGTGGCATAAGATCCTGGAGCAAAATTACCTCCTCGCGGATCCGACATACCACTCTGCCATGATGGGAACCCTGATTCACCAACAGGGGGCATACCAAAACCCAGCGGCTCTCCCTCACTGGTACTCCTCGAACGTTTCTCCTCAGGCCTTGGCTGAGAAGTCTGTATAGTAATTGGAATAACCCTGGCCCCTTCGTCCACACTGGTGCTTCTAGAAGGGGTACAGTAAGGTGCCGCTGGGGGTTGGGGGTGTGACTGTGGGGACTGAAACTGGTGGTGGTGTGGGTCATAGCCTGCAGGCAGACTAGACTGCTGATACTGGGGGTGGTACCCCATGTGCTGCCCCTGCCGCGGAGGTTCTGGAGACATGGGTCGAGGTGAATGGGGTGTAGGGAAAGGCTGGCTAAGTTCTCTATGTCTGTCATACGGGGGAGGTTGTGGGAAGGGTTGACCAGGCGGGACGGTGTATGGCTGGCCGGGCTGAACCGAGTACTGTTGACCATAGGGCTGACCAAACTGGCTCTGTGACATCGTTGGTGGTGGGTGTTGAGGTGTGGGTTGGCTGTAGTTTGGCCTCCTATCTGGTCCCATGGTTGGCACAAAGGCTCTTGGTCCCATCTGCCTCTGTTGCTGAGGCATCTGAGACTGTTGTGGAGGATAGGACTGGCCAAAATAGGGCTGTACTCCATCACGGTTTTGTGTCTGTCCGAATGAGGGTCTTGAGCTCTCTGCAGCAGGGGATTGTGGGTAGTTTTGTCTTGCTGGTGGTGCTTGGCTTGATGTCCGTGCAAGACTCATATCAACTTCTACAGAGAAAATGAAATTGGTGAATACTTTGAACTCAACAAGAATGAGTGATGTAACAAATATAAATCAAACTCAGTGCAAGAACAACTGAACGAGAAGTTGGAACATATTCAAAATTGTCTTCAAAATATTGTTAATATTCAACAAAATACCTTATCACATTTGTGAAATATCCTCTCTCTTATCAAAAATTAAAAATATATATGTTCCAACTTTTTGAAAGGCAGTTTTGCATGAAAAATGTACACAAGATTTCAATTGTGAGTCTGCAAGTCACTCAGGACTTTTGTGCAGAGATGCTGTCCAAAATGATTTTCTAAGAGATGCAATACTGCCTTAGACTATGATGTACCAACAGAACATGTAACAACAGAACAGAACAAAACTGTAACAACAACTGAAGGCATTCAGCAACTGTAACCATGTGTAGAGTGTAGGAGAGGGAGCCGCAATCTTCCCTCACAGCTGAGACATAGGATCCACCTAAAGGTTACCAGTAGACTCTGGTTCATGGTACTCGCCACAAATTGGACCATCATCCCATATGGTAAACTTACCTCAGATTTGTCAATTCAGTGGAAGCATATAGTCTATGTTCAAAATTAAAAGGAATCAGTGAGTATTCATCTCAGTATATTAATCCAGAACCCAATCTCTGGAAATCCGATTCTGGATCACGTAAAGTTTTTACTCAGTCCTGAATAATATTGCATTGTTCTTTTCTATGTGAGACATAAGTGAATATGAATGCCTTTAATGTCTCCTCAAAACATGTTTGTGGTCAGCTGTGACAAAAGATGGAAACAAAGCTCTATCAATTAATAATAACATGTTACGGTTTGGTTCAAAAGGTTTCAGTCCTCATTCACAGATTACACCTTGAAACCTTTTGATTCCCAAAGTAACAAACAGTCTGCACATACCGACAATTCTCTACTCATTCAATCATTATAAACTTGTATTGTATAAACGCTTTAATACGGAAACAGTCAGTATTACTGAATGTAAAAGTATGAATTGAACTGAATTTGCATAAGATGTTATTTGTGATAAAAAAAAAAATATAACACACACTTGTGTATCAAAAAAGAGTATGGCGAAACATGCACTTTCAGATAAGCCTTCACTGCGGGTGTGGTTATCTGAGGTCAAAGGTCAAGGTCACTCAGGCTCAGGTCATTCTTGAGGTCATGCTTCATGCTGACAGAATACAGCATTCTACCTTTGACATCTGCACCCAGCTGTATTAATTTTTCTTGCTGCCGTAAGAAGAGGTCCAAGCCTTTTGATGATTGGCCCTTTGAGCCTTCCGTGGGAGAGCTACCATATCTGGAGCTTTGCTTATGCTCAAAGCTCGAGACAGGCATAGGTGCTTGCTTAGGAACTGGCTTAGGGGCTGGCCTAGGCATAGTTTTAGGTCCACTTGAAGCTTTTGTTGCTGACCACATAGGGGGTGAAGCAGTGGGGTTGCTCCTTGCCATGTCTGACAATTAATTTTGAAATTTCAGTTAGGTCTGCTATAACTTAGAAACACCCATAGCAACTTTCAATCAGAAAATACCACAAAACAATTCACTGAATGTTGTTCCATTAGCATATTTCTGTATATTACAAACAAATTGACTAGTGGTCTTTGGACAGCAGCTTGCATATGGCCTTGGAGATGTTACATAGTTGTGGCACACCTGAACTCAGTCACAGCAAGATGGTTGAAGAGCATATTACAGCAACTACATAAGGTTATCAAGTAAATCTGACTTCATCTTTGAATCAATATCTAAAATAAGCTTACATGCAAGCTACAGTTAAAGCTGTCACTGTTTAATTTGGATCAGAGAAGTATAGTGTACATCTGAAGCAAATTAATCTCGGAAGGAAGCACTGTTAGGAGACATCATGTTCCATGACTGACAGGACATCCAGCTGAACCAGGCACACAACCTTTATAGACAATGTCAATAGTAGCATGGTACGCTATATTATCGCAGTAGCATGCTCACTAACCTATTGAATATGTCATATGCAAAATGTTTTTTGTTCTTTGTTCAACTGTTATGACACATCAATTAGGATTGATCGATGCTGATTTCTTAAAGAGTTTGGTAAGATACCTGTCATCAGAGACCATATAATAGATAATCTATTATATGGTCTCTGCTGTCATGAGTGACTCAAGGGCAGGCAACTCCATATCATCGCGGTATCACCATTATGTGGTGTGATAGGTGTGGAATATGTGGTTTACATCACTTCCTGTTATGAATTATGCATAATCAGTGTGCATACGACCTAGGTTGGGTCATGGGACATCGTCCCAACAAATGGGTCCTTTTCTAACCAATTTCTAATGGAGGTAGGTGTAATTCCACTTAAAAAACATTCCAGAACCTTTGATACAAAAGTTAACATGCTACCGTAATGAGTCCTTTATTCGATCAAGAGATGAAATATAGTGCTTAGATTTGAATAATTAAAGAGTCAACAGGGATTGTGGATTACAAGATTTACCGACACCGCGATAACATAGAGCCCACAAAAATATGGAGTCAGACTCCACAGAATCATACTAATGACGATATCTAAATAGTTTGTCTGTTTGTCTGTTTGTTTTTTGTTTATTGTCAAACTCAGCAATATTTCAGCTATATGACAGCGGCCTGTAAATAATCGAATCTGGACCAGATGATCAAGTGATTTACATCATGAGCAATGATCGAGGCCATCAGGACACAGTGACACACAATCAACCGAATCACTGCGTCTGACCACCTGAGACCAGCTTAGGTTGGGGATCTGTTGTAACCCTGACAGATGACCTTGTCCAACTGGATGTCCTGGGATGTTAGCACCATGTCCTATCTACTGCAAGCACTACAAGTGCCTAGCAACTAGAGTCCTCAGTTCTACCTGAGTACATAACAATCTACCAGTACGTCAAGTCTAGTAGATGGATAACATCAACAACATCATTACAATTAGGTGTTGTGTTAATCACATGGAGACACCTTCACAGGATCAACAGAGGGTATGACTGGAACTAAAATCCTCCAACACATCCCCGGAATTCTTCCATGTTGCTAGCATTTTTAACAATTATATAAGAATATATTTAATATTCAAAAAATTAATCAAGTAACTGTTCGGTAATCAATTTTCACACATTTTATGAAATTTCCTTTCACTTTGTGTTTTTAGCATATGTAACAAAAGCTTTTCAGCACAAAAGAACACAAAAAATATATCCTTGTAGGTTAAGAGAAACAGGACTGTAGTTAAAGGATATCTATGAGTTGTTTGGGGGTAAGTATTAGAGACATGGTACTAGTTGGTATCGTGATTCACGGAATGACATCATGCATACACAGACTGTGTCATGCTTGAAGGTGACTCAGTGTTAAAATACCTATTGGAATATTGACAACGCCCTGGGGATCTGGTTGGTTAATGTCTGAAACAACACCAACAACATAAACAATATTCATCCATGTTGTTAAACATTTTTGTAACTTAACCATCTCTCAAGTACAACAAGCGAGCAAACATGTTATTCTTGGAAGACAAATGTCAACAAATAATGTTATGCAACAAAGAATTAGTCTTTAGATGTTAACAATAATCATTAATATTTGTCTTGAATCTGCACAAATTATGTTCAAAGCATTAGTGAAATTAATATTCTGTATGATTTGATGATATAACAAAAGGGTTATAAGTATGTGAATCCCAACAGAATGAACTGTCACATTCTGGAAACATATGTTCAAGACACACCACACCATGCATGGGGAAGCCTATTGCATTCGAACCTTCCTACAAGACACTGAAAACCTTCAAATTCCTGGTACCTGATACCCAACATAACCTCCGTTAACCCTTAAACAGCCAACCATCAGGTATTTTGACAAGACAGGCACATGGCTCAACACCATGGGAGTGGCATCACCTCTGATAATAATTTGTATACAATATACAGAATAAAGATAAACAGTCTCCGAAGAAAAATGATTACGAAAGAACATTTATAGAATACATAATGGTTAAAAAGTGTTTTGTTCAAAACATTTCTGATGTATATAACAGCTTTAACACAAACCTGTTTGTCTATACTGCAATGACCTTCACCATTTCTCCAACTTGCCGATGAAGTACATTTTTCCAGCCAACAACCTGATGTCCTAACAACTAACTACAACTGGACAACTTGACAAGTTAGACCTGAACTGATTATGTAAATGCATGTCTGACCATAACTTTTATCCATGTACACAGAGATATAGAACTAGTGATGCTTCACTTCCAACACAGATCAATATTTGCAGGTTGTTTCCAATCTTGCAATGGCATCATGATCTGCCTGGTGCTATGCAGGATTCCAGCACCAATGCACAGCCAGACACACTCAGGGGGAACCACCAGCCTATTCTGATGTCCCGGAACGTGCAGACTTAGTGCCTGTCTTTGCCCAGAACGTGTCAGTCTGATGGTTACAGTGTCCCGGGACAAGAGGAAAAACATAACAGAAGAACTGTATTGATGCTTTGTCGAGTCTCAGCTTCTCTGGGATTGATTCCAACCCAAAGTGAAGCTAAGAGTAGGAATCAAGTCACAAGATAATTGATCTGTTATTCTTCAAATAGATTTTGGATGAGAAAGTTTCTACAATTGTTTGTCCATTTCAAATAGCAAACACTTTTTAACCCAAAATTTCTCACATAATTCAACATTATTCACAGTCTGAGCGTAGCTGTAGAATGCTACCACTTGTGGACATAGAAAAGCAGGCTTGTATCAATTGTTCTTCCTCAGGTAGTGTTACCAGCATGGCAGAGCACATATATAGACTCACATGTGCCAACAAACTCTCCAAATCATTCCCTTGATTTCCTTTATACTACGTATTGACAGAAATAGCTACAAAACATTCTGAACATAAATACTCAACATTCTAAAGAAAACCTAAAAAAAACCTTCACAAAGTCCTGGTAGACTGATCAAGTATCAGAGAACATCATCAAACTTCCTTGACTCGTAACACTTGTCAGTATCATTGAATCTTGTACGACTTGAATAACCATCAATATTATCGATCATGCATCAGAGGGAACTGGGGAGTTACCACATGCAGAGGGAGGTCAGACTCAGCCAGACAGCTTGACCGACTGGCAGGTCATAACTCTACTTTAGAAGAAGCTTGTTATAGACAGTCGGCTTTACAGGGGAATACTGACATCATCATACCTCACCCCAGTCTATGTCAACTTGCACGAGTAAGTTTGATCTAAAGCCAATTTGAATAATATTTCTGTTATTTCAAGGTATGTCATCTTCACGTGTGAGTAAAGCCCGAAGTAATGCAGGTTTCATATTTTTACTGCTTTGGTGAAACCCATGAGTACAGATAGACCTAGTAAAATAATCACAACGAATAGGTCCCTAGTATCATAGGATTTTGGCATGGCGAAGGGATGCAACTCTGCACAGCAACTTATGCACCCAACATTATGGAGGCATACTGACATCCACAAACGTAGTCCCCTATTTACATAGTCCCCCTTGCATAAAGCAAATGCTACACCTACTGCATCTCGTACACTGTTACAGGGACATTATAGTTGAGATTACTTTCATCAATGCGTCTTGGAGCATCTGGAGTTATTGTCAAGAAGGTGAAATGTTCCACTAATACATTATTCAGAGAATAGGCTTCTCTTAACTTCATTCAATTATTACAGAAATGGTCCAATAATGTCAGTGATTCCAACTTCATTTATATCAGAGATAAGCACCTCTCCAAATATCTACTGTCAAAGAACTACCATTCCTTTAATGGTACAACAACACTCCCAGGAGAGTCACAAACTGGTTACATGCAATGGGGTTGAGGGAAACAGACCTACAATCTCTTTAGAGCAAGGCGGAAGCCATGCATCAAATCCCCAGGTGATTCTACAGGAGAGGCAAGGCCTAAAGATGACAAACTGTCGTATTACTCTTGTTTCATTACACCATGCAGGGAACCTCCAAACAAGTGTTATTGTTACTTATGTGATCACGGTTACAAAAAGGTCATGGATACTAATCAAGTCAAGTTTTCAGGATTTGCAACCTGAAGACGAGGGTGCATTGTACAAAGCAATCTTAGCGCTAAGGTGATCGTATCTCCCATACCTTCACATAGACTTACGACAGTCCTAGCGCTAAGGTTGTTTTGTACAACGGCACCAAGATCATTATTACTATCAATGTTTGAATGGGTGATTCAGCATCAACGTTGTCCTTTAAGGTGTTTGTGTATTAGTATACATCCAAAATAGGCACAGGTGAATAAATGGAAATAGTGTTCAACAATGGTTCAGCACTTCGATGACATGCAACCAGTGACCTAAGGTCAACCCTTAGTACTGATGTAAATATTTAAGTGGGAAATTAAATATTTAAGTGGGAAATGCAGTGGGGACTACATTATACAGGAACACAGGCAAAATGGTTACAATGTACAGTTTGTCTACAATGTATGGCAGACCAAACATGCCATAATGCCTCTAATGTATGGCAGATGAGACATGCCACCACTGGTACCTGTACTGCCTGCAGGGTAGCCTCTTCTCTCTGAGGGCTTGGAAGACACAGGGATGCTGATGGGGGTGGAGTACTTTGGCCCCGCCCCCCTGGGAGCTCCATGATCGTTCATACCTAGATACGCACCAACGGCATGATTATCAGAGCACTGACTTCAATGTCGACATTTCATTTTCACACCACGATGCCATGCTGATTGTAAATGGTTGACACAGAGCTCCTGCTTCATCGTGAACAGGCAGTGATAAAAAAAGTAACTGGTTCATGATGACGTTAAAATTATCTTTTGACATACTATCACTTACTATCACACATAATGTAGAAATTGAAGACAAAGGTAAAACTTAAAAAAACCAATTCAATATCTCATTATCATGGTGAAATCACTCAAAGGGAATCAATTATTCATGCTAATACCCGTACTTGTTGGAAGCTGTGTAAACTAGTTCCTCAATATACATCAATAAACAAAGATGGAAATGGCAACAGTTTCAAGAAGATAACATGGAATACATTAGCACTGTCCACAGAACACACAGAAGACATTCGGGGTTAAATACTAAAACTGGACTGTTATCACACACACAGGAAATATGTTTGGAGTGAAAACACCGCAGTGTTTGTCCAACAAACAGTGTCTGCTGCAGACCATCGGTCCCACATGCACTCTGCAGCAGTAGCTGGACACTGCCTCTGTACTTATAGGGTCTGAAGCTCACCTTCCGGGCAGGACTAAACATATCTATCTCTCTACACTACAGGGACATTTGTGTATAGGAATCTAAAAGTGAATACTGTATTCGACGTAATAAGCGCCCCGCTCTAATAAGCGCCAACGGCGATATTTGCGAATATATTGGCTAGTGAACAATCCCAATTAGCACCCCTTCCGATTGATCAATGTTCACAAGACTTATTTATTCGCGTATGATAGGCACTTGTGTGTTATATGCAACCTTAATTATGGGCAATAAATTCTGGAAAAATATATCTGTCGTACATGAACACGAAATTTATCTTTCAACTCTGTTTTTTTTTTCACCAAAATAATATTTTAATAAGAGCCCCCTATTTCTAATTTTGAGAGCGCCCTGATCGCTTATTACGTCAAATACGGTAGTATATATAATTATTTTATTTTTTACATTTTTTTCTATATTCCAGGTTCAGCCTCTACTCCAGTAAATAGCAGGGTTTATGAAAAATTGTTTTTATTTATTAGAAATGTCCAGATGATTCATTGATTGATGCACATCACCAACAATAAAGTAACTGTTTTGCTGCAGGTTAAGCAGTTATTGTTCTGAATAATTCTTCGTCAGTTTCTCCAAATGTATTCAGTAGATCAAGGCCTCAATGAAGTAATTGTTTTGCTGCAGGGTAAGCAGTAATTGTTCTGAATAATTCTTCGTCAGTTTCTCCAAACGTATTCAGTAGATCAAGGCCTCAATGAAGTAACTGTTTTGCTGCAGGGTAGGCAGTAATTGTTCTGAATAACTCTTCGTCAGTTTCTCCAAACGTATTCAGTAGATCAAGGCCTCCGTCAGTTTTTATGATGGACATGTGGAGGGCAATTCCAAACTTAACCCATCAGTGACAAAAATGTCATATGCATTTCCCTATTTTGACTGACAACTCAATGCAAGCACAGAAATCAACACTAACTTGATGGTCAGATAGTTAATCAACTTATTCAGACCAACTGGTGAAGTTAATTTCCTTAATACATACATCAGTGGAACCGAAGACCATTGATCTGACTAGCTGATCAATGCCCAACTTGGTCAGCCGACCCCAAGGTGGTCATTCAATTACAAACTTAGACAACTTAACACACAACCAGAACATGGTGATCTGAATGCACAATCAGGGCCAACAATCAGAAAACACTGGCCCTGATAGAGATCACCAGTCATGCTATTCTGGCGCCAGGCCACACACCTTCATATACAATAACAGAGATGACAGACTGATCAATAGCCATTGTAGATATTGTGGTGCCAGCATGTGTCCTTCCTATTGTTGGCCTGTCATAACCAGTGTTTGCTTGTCAGTGTGTCCGCCTGGCTTCTCCAGCTTCTATTTATCTATGTTGTTGGTTGATTCATGGACAGTGACAACAAGATAGCCGTAAGTGTGATAGCCAGCATGGCTATTCAGTGTGGATAAGTGTATGGCTGGTCAATTTTGAATGACTGGTGACACCCTTGGTTGTTACCTGATTGATAGTTTTTGGATAATTTGCCTGTCCAGCAAAACTAGCTTTGATGATTGATGATTTTCACACACTACGTCACATATCAATGTCTAGATGACACTTTATACACCAACACATGTCATCTAGGATTTCATTATCATTTCCAAACAACATCAGAGTTTTATCTTTTCCTTTGATAAGGCCACAACTAGATTATCATCATATTCAGTACTTATGTTCAACATTACACTCAACTGTTCCAGGAGTAAGACACTTCACAAAATTATGGAGTGAGTGAGTATGGTTTTACGCCACTTTTAGTAATATTCCAGCAATATCACGGCGGGGGGCACCAGAAATGGGCTTCACACATTGTACCAATGTCGGGAATCGATCTGGGTCTTCGGCGTAACGGGCGAACGTTTTAACCACTAGGCTACCCGACCGCCCCCAAACATATGGATTAATTAAGCCTTTGTGTATAGCAACATATCTGTTTAAAATAGATCATAGTTTTCAAACAACTCCTGAAGTTCTAATCTAGGCATTAAAGAGTAAAGCATTAGGAACCCTGAGTGTATAACAATCTACCTGTACTATCTTGGGAATCAACCTTGATAGTCAGCGGTGTGCTGATAGAATCAGGCAGGCCATTTGTGAGCGCAGTTGTGGTTGTTGCAGTAGTAGTGGTTGCAGCTGTGGGAGATGATGTAATGATTGTTGGTGTCGCTGAAGTAGTTGTGGAGGTTTGATTGATGGAGAAATTGACAGGCCTGTATGACTGAACAGGTCCTGAGTCCCCTGCAAACAATAACATTCACATGCAAAGGGAGGTAACAGTGATGTAGGTACTATCACTGCAACACACAAACAAACAAGGTTATACCAATGTGGATGTATGCTATACAAGACAAATGTTGTCATTTTCAGAATAATCATTTATAAAAACATGCATTGTTTAATTTGGTCACAAGAAACAAATTTCTTCTCTTTGATTAATTCTGATTAATAAACACATGATATAATCCAAATCACATAATCGACTCTGCTTTTAGCGCGTGATTTCTTATGATTATGGAAAGCGTTTTGTTGCTGCTTAACAGGGAATGGGAAATTATTTAAATTCCTGTAACTTTTTTTATTAATTTCTCAGCAAAACATTCCTGGTATAGTTTATTTTACCTCAAATCACGTTCTTTGACAATGTATTAATGCTGATCTATTGGAAGCAAAAACATTGAGATTTCATACAATTTGATTTCTCTTCTCATAAGCAAAACTTACAAAATGCCATCTCCATACAAAGAGCTTTTATGAGTATATGTACATAGATCAGAATTTACTCATCAGAAACTAAATACAGAAAACAAAGGCTATAACGAACTCAAAGGGATCACTAATCTTAGTTTGTTATAACCGTAGTTCGTTATAAGCATATATGCAGCATATATGCAGCATATATGCAGCGCATGGTCGGGACAACAAAAAAAAGGTGGTTATATCGTCAGTTTGTTGTGAGCGTGTTCGGTATACGTAGTTTACTGTAGAGTAATCAAAAAGAAGAAGCAATGTTTTGTGACATTATTATTCATGTCAAACCAGTTTTAACTTTCCTTAATTTCCCTTTTCAAAAGTCACAAATCTTCCAAAAAACAAATGCAGCATATTCCACAAAGGTATAACAAAACAATCAAGAGACCAATTTGGTAAATATCAATACAATTACAAGATAACCTCGCAAGAGATGACTGGAAACTAGGAATGGATTAATGAATTGCAAACATCTAAAAGAGCTGTTTCCTACACTGTGCAAGAGCATGTTAATACTGAAAGACACAAGTTAGGTGATGACTTGAACAAGACACAAGACACTAGTTGTGCAAGAGGCTTAACAACACACACATGCACACATACGACTTTGAAAGCAATAAAAGCAAATACCGTATTCAACGTATTAAGTGCCCAGGGCGCTCTCAAAATTAGAAATAGGGGGCTCTTTATTAGAATATTATTTTGGTGAAAAAAGTTCAAAGATAAATTTCGTTGTTTATGCTGACAGCCTGAAATGTTTATATACGATAAATATATTTTTCCAGAATTTAATTGATCCTAATTAAGGGTGCATATAACACACGAGTGCGTATTATACGCGAATAAATAAGTCTTTTGTACATTGATCAATCGGAAGGGGTGCCAATTGGGATTGTTCACTAGCCAATATATTAACAAATATCGCCATGGGCGCTTATTCTTACGTCGAATACGGTAAGTAGCCCATTCGCTATGCATCAATTTTGTTGCATTGTTAAAATTTCAACACTTGGCAAATTAATAATACAATATCAGTGCAAGATGATCAAAATTGATTCAATCCCCAAACAGCCAGTTAAACTTCACCATTTATACAAGTGTGATGCGGACACAGATTTCCTTGATTGCTTTCAGAGTTTTCAAAACAAAAGAAGACAGAAAGAATGAAACGCACCATACGGCGACCATTTTTGTGAGGTAGATGATGACTGTGAGAATGTGTCACCGTAATTGTCCATAGCAGGACTGACTGGTTTTTTGTGCAGGCCCCGCCTACCACCTGTCAGAAGCAGCCAATCATTAGACAGTATGTCTAGTTAACATGCAAATGTATGCAAAAAAGTTTCTGTTTAAAAAAACTGAAAATTCATATCTTTTAAATACATATTCCCTTAATAACAAAATACCAGTCGTACAGCAAAACCTCAAGGGGGTGTATATGCCAGAACTACAGATAAGCAGCGTATTTGCCTAAAAAACCTCCAAAATATTCAAAACACAGTTACTTTCAATTAACTTGCGTACAGAAATGCATGCATTAAATGAAAAACTCAAATGTATAAAAACAGTTTGCGTAAATACCCAAGAAGCTTTTTCAGCATGTGTACAAAGGAGCTAATCTCCGAAACACAATTACGAGCTAATTTACTTTCCGACTCCAGCCTAAATCTAAAACATTATTTCATATTTTTTTTAAATCTTAAAATGTTCACTATTTTGGGAAAAAAACAAAAGAGTGATGAATAGATGAGTGAAAAATATTGGTTACCCAATGAAAAATTAATGACCCAATTAAAATAGAAACCCTAGAGTAAAAACTCAATTGATCAAAAAGTTATCTGGAGCTCTGTATGCAATAAAAAAAACTGATGTAGGCCTAGAAATAAGTAAATATGTCCCAATTTCTGTAATTCTCAAAATGTTTTTTACACTCTTGAAACAATGAATAGGATACATATGACCATTTAAACAGATAATAAAATTTTGACATAAACTTGTAAATTTCTAATTCTGACTTGAAGATTTGACTAAGTTCGTCTTGGTGTAATTTGAAGAAAGATATACTGACAGAAGAAGATCTTATTGGTGCACAGATTTAGAGAGTGTATACAGAAGATGTGTATGTGTACATACAAATGAGATATATACAGATATAAGGAACAGAAGATATATCATTGACACAATATACAGCAAACCCATCATCTTACAAAGCAACACGACCTTGTACGTCAATGAAAGAGTGAAGAAGAAAAGCCTTACCCCCTCTTTCTACCATACTACGCACATAAGCAAAACATGCCCTGAGCTTTTCTGGCTTCTAGTCATCTGGTTCTGATTAAGTGCAAGCTGTTTTGACTATTATTAGGCCGAGCTGTGATTAATGTGGCAAAATATGCACGGAGATATCTCATCTACGAGCACCACAGCCTGTTTGCAACACTGGCAATGCATTGGCATTAAAAGCTTTTGAATATAATAACATCAACGGCATAAACTTCAATTATTCAGAAGTTTCCTTCCTTTGAATGTCAAGCAGTCAAATTCCAGATTAATTCCAGGGATGTCATTCTACAGAAAACCATAATATTTTGAAGGTTTGGTTTTTATCCCAAACTTGTTACACATTAGTTGCTGTGATATCAGCCATTAAAAACAGCATATACAGAAGCACACTTAAACACTGTGCAAGCACCAGCCATGTATATTTAAAGCTACCAGCTAACAATGTGGCATGTATGATACAGCCAACACATAACATGATCTCATGAGAAATTAAATAGTGAAAGAAAACCCCAAATATGCACAACATATTGGAGGTTAAATATCTCAAACTTAAAAAACAACATCCTAACTCAAGCTTATACTAAAACTGTTTTGTAAGGTCTTTCACTAGAGAGATCCCACAGAGAGGGGACAAAATGGCTCAATAGAATAAACAATTGAAAACATATCAAATAAAAAGGAAACAAATGCATAAAAGATGGCCAAACATTACTAGTAGCCATTAATAATTAAAGAACAGAAAATGAATTAAATATTTGAAAGAAAAGACCATACCTGGGTTCACGTGTATAGTTTGTGTGGTACTGAAGACTTCCCCGTTGTGTGGACCATTTGTAGTACTTGTTTCTTCACCTCTAACAAATACACACAAACAACACAAAATAAACACAAGGAAAATAAATATACAACAATAATTCAAACAAAATTAGAAAACAAAATCTCTTTGAGATTAAACTCATTACTCAACCAAATGAGAAAATATTTCATGCAATATTCAGATAAATCAAACATTTCTGTAATATTGGATGTAAACCATACAGACCGACACTGACAATCCCCAGTGTCAAGGCAGGAATTACAGGAATGTTAACTGATGACAGTGAAGAGATTTAATTTTAAGGCATTTACAGCCCCAAGTGAGGGCAAGTGTCCTTGACAAGAGGAAGCAGAGCGCCAGAGAACATCTCAGTAGAGAATATCCCCTGACTCATCCGGTATCTCCCGGCTCCACCGGCTCCACAGGACTCCTTGCTCTGGTAACGTCTACACTCGCACACTACAATGTACCTGTAGAACTACCTCCATGCTTACAGTGCCTCTATAGATCCAGTACCTGGGAGGTACAACTGATATGTCCTCCATGAAGGTAGGGTAGGGAAGTATGTTCACTCCATTGATAAGTTCTTGGAGGACATGTGCTATGCGTTAGAGTAACATGTATTTCTCGGACATGACCAACCACTTCAACAGAAACATTTCCTTTGATATTAATGTATGTAATTCTCATTAATCATCCAAAGGTTGGAGAGAATAACATGTGCCTATTTCTAACTATATGATTTCTTTTATTGTTAAATTGTCTATAATAATATAAAGGAGCCCAGAGGATATCTTCATGTTCAGAAATTGAACAAATCTAGACTTGCCAAAGTATGTATTACATAGACTTGCCTGGGATTTGTGGATATATCTGTTTCCACGTCTATATAAGTGATTAGAGTGGATAGTTCCACCCAATACATATGACATTAATATCACTTTACTATGCATGTATATCTACCTTTCATGTCTATAATTATATACATCTACATATGTAGATAGTTTGTACCCTACCCTACGAGGTTGTTCTGTACAATAAAAATTCTTGATTTTTTATTCTTGATTAGTCACTGGACACAAATGTAGAAAAATGGACTCAGATTGAAATATACTGTGTTCCAAGGGCCACACAATAATATTCATTCTACCGACAGTGCATTAAGAGCAGTTATGGGTGTCATATTTTATCCATCAGTCATGACCACTGTCCATATGATCAATGATTCATTCCAGGCCATAAGGTAATTATCTAAACATACAGTACACTAGACTTCACAGGACCCTCGTATAGCCTGCAAGGACCCTTTAAGTTAACAAGTGGGGATCCCCTGGACCTCAACTTCTGTAAACCAGGTCCCTGCATTGTAGACACGAATTAACTTTCATTTTAAGAATACATGGATAGGGGTGAAATCACCAAGTTGCTAGCCCATCAACTTGTACCAGATGTTTCAATAACATATAACAGTGACAGTGTCTCAACTTTTCATATTTTAAGGAAAAACAAAGTTATAACAAATATCAAAACAGAAACTAAATACGTATCTAAGAAATCAAATGTCAAATCTGTAAATTGACTTTCAAGTAACTGTATTTTTTTAAAGAATATATCACTAAGGTAACATCTCATAATGTTATAAAGGTCAAGAAGAAAAACTTAAAATGCCAGTGGTACATATCACTTGACATATATCAGAACCTCAGATAGCTTGACACCAAGATTAATAAATCACATGCCAAGTCCAACAGTAAATCATTCCTTAATGCCAGCTTGTATGGAACAACTAAAAACCAGAGATAATTCCTGACACAAGATCATTTTTCATTTTTACCTAGCCACTGTGTAATTAGTTCATGGGTTATGCTGATATCAAAACCAGGTCAGATATGCTAGACAGCAGTATACACCTAAAAACTTCCTTTTAGTAGACCTCAAATTTTAAATGTTTTTTAAATCCAAGAAATATCTTTGAACAAACATGGAGGAAGGGGATTCTGAATGTCCTGTACTCTAATCATGTTTACCTAACAACACATCTAGTGTGCAAAACTATTTACCCACTTTATCAGTTCTCCATTCATTCATATTTGACATCCTGATGCCAAATAACTTATCTCTATATGGAGGTAATCCCCATAAAGGCACTGGATTTATTTCATGTTATTCACAGGGTTCACCAGGTAAAAGTAGTTGTAAGAAAACATTCTCAAGTGCAAGTAAAGTGATACAGTTTCAACCTTCACATGAAAAAATAACAATTGCAAAGCCTTTTAAAAATTATTTTTAACTTTGTAGAATAGTTCAGAAACTAAAATGATAATAACCAAAAATGACAATTCATTTCAAGACAAAATACATCCCTGATAATTTGTCAAGTTTAAATAGTTAGAATGGTTTTACGCCGCTTACAGCAATATTTCAGCAATATCACGGCGGGGGACACCAGAAATGGGCTTCACACATTGTACCCATGTCGGGAATCGAAGCCGGGTCTTGGGCGTGAAGAGCGAACGTTTTAACCACTAGGCTACCCGACCACCCCCTCAAGTTTAAAGGTGAGGTTAAGGTGAGGTGAGGTGAGGTGAAATTGGGTTTAACGTCACGTCCAAGATTATTGCACTTATATAGCGACGTGCATGCGCGTGTGTGTGTGTGGCTGCTTGTACTAGTCGGGACTGATGCCGATTTATAGTGCTAGCTCACTGAGATACCATGCCGCAGTTTAACATGAATACCCCACTCAGACACAGTATACTGACTCCGAGCCGACCAGTCCTTGTTTTAGCCCCTTAATGCCGAGCGCCAGACAGGGTAACAACTCAAGTTTAAACAAGAAGAAGCAACAACTGTAGATCTAGAGGATAAAACATTCTATTTGCATGCCATCTTGCATGATCTTCATGACCTCTGAAAAGCATAGTGTCAATAAGGTAGCTTGAAAGTAGATCCTGCATAAAGTGTTGTATTTACTTGAGTAAAACTTTTATTTAAACATTTGGAGACAAATATAGTATTTTACCTTAAATACATAATAAAAAGCATGTTCCTCGATAAAATATGTTGTGAATGAATCCACAGCCTATCATATATACCTTCTTTGCTTTTTCATTAGAAGGCATGTACTATCTGTTGAAAGCAAAATCAACATTTGGAACAGTTCTCGGCTATTTCCATCTAAAATCATTTGTATTCTGGTAATTTGATTGGATGGCTATATTTAGTGTTGTGACTAGACTCCAAACAATGCTTTGGTGGTGAATGAGCCGAGGGTATTTATAATGGAATGGCGATATGATACACTGGATAATCGAGCATTGAATGAAACAAACCAACAAATCGACAGGTGTTCCACACTGCTCTGGTATATCCCATCCTACTCACAAGTAAAATATCCACTGACGTCAGAAACCGCGAGCCAGTGAATCTGTGTCTGGTTGTGCAAAAGTGCAGTACTACAACACTTCTTTTTTCTTCAGTCAGCCAACAGACCTTGAGTTAAGCCGACACTCATGATAGGCATAGTGGGGCTCCCGTGACACCTCCAAATGCACCTTTGTGAATCTCACACTGAAACAAGGCAGAGACTCACAAGGTAAGGTGTATCACCGTATGCGGATCAAAGCCCCATCTCCAAGTCCATCTCCAAGTCCATCCTCAACACAACAATTTTCAATGCAGTCTTCCAGTGCCATTCAGCACAAACTCAAAGTCCATGAATTCATTACATACCAATTTGTTTCTCAACTCTGTGTCTGTGGGTATCTTGTCCTTAGGGCTGTCCTCCAAATTGCGTCCTTAAACTCAACGTTATGTCCTCGCAGCTTTGCATATTCATAACAGCAGCATATCCTCCCAGACACTCAATGCCTTGTCAGCAATTAACGTTTGCTCATTAGAGAAGGTAGAACCAAGCTTGTCTAGGACATAGGTAATCCAACACTGTAGCCAAATCCATGTACACGGAAACATGCTTCACAAACACATGTTCAAAGCATGAGTTCAGCTGCCCAAATCTCACAAAATCCCTGCACCTCTTTCACAGCCGATGGAATCCAATTAGGCTGCTCACAAACACGCATGAAATACACAGTGTTACCTTAAAATTACCTTTCTCCAGTTTGAAACCTAAAACACAACTTCTTCCTTCACAAGCTTGTTCCACGAAAGTAATTGTTCCGACTGTAAGTATAAACACCTTCACCTTGTCTTTCTGTCCATGGCAAATCCTAAATCCATTCAAAGGCTATTTGTGCATCCAAAACAAGGAATATTGCATCCAATGTCCAACTCATCACCATCTACACATATAACACGGCAGGGAAAACATCTCCGTGGCTTCTCACCTCTGACACTGACCTCCCTGATTAAGTAAGCATGTTCAGGTAGGTAGTATCTACATGTATGTAGATGTGTGCTAGTGTAGCCGGCGGCCCTATAGGGCAATAGAGGGTGGTGTACCCACCCAGTAACCTCAACAGCTGGGCCGTAGAACTACACACTCCTGGCTTCTCCGTTATTTACAACAACTGTTTTTGTGCGTCAGTCGAGCCGTGTTCCTCCTCCCACGGAACAGACTGGCTGACATCTGTGCAATATGTTCACATCCTACCTGGCAAACCACCGCTAACTGGCAAGCTTTGGATTATAAAATAACATTTTTCATATTTGGACTCTGTTGTGCTAGTCTTTACCTTGGTCCGAGTAAGCTACTGTAATTGTTCCTTCTATCACCCAGTTTATAACGGACCCGTGAAGATCCGGGATAGAATAGGTCTTCAGCAACCCATTCTTGCCATAAAAGGCGACTATGCGCTTGTCGTAAGAGGCGACTAAGGGGAATGGGTGGTCAGGCTCAATGACTTGGTTGATGCATGTCATCAATCCCAACTGCATGGATCGATGCTCATGATATCAATCACTGGATTGTCTGGTCCAGATTAAAATTTTTACAGACCGATGTCATAAAGCTGGAATATTGCTGAGTACTGCATTAAACAACAAACAAACAAACAGTTTAAAACGATGAAATGATTA